TTTTTCAAACGTTTCAAATAATACATTTTACAAGGAAACCCCTTTTTCTTAAATTTTGAATTACAGAGCCATCTGTTGATAAATTAAAAAAAACTTTTAAATAAAAGTTATTCATTTTTTTATGTACTACCAAACTCTGTAAAAAAATCGGGTCATTTCATTTGACTTTCCAAAGTTACCCCCGTTTCACCCTTAAGGAGTGGTGTGGGGTGGCTAGCGGTAGCACCAAATAATGTCCCCTTTGGCCACATTAACCTTTTATTTAAGACATTTTTCCGTGAAATGCGTATTTCTCGAGATATTGAGCTGTCTCAAGTTAAAAGAAACACCCTGTATATCTCCATTATTCGAGCTAAACTAGCAAAACCCCTTTAAAGATTAGTTTTGGGGGTTGCATAGATTCGATTTTTCCACATTTCATCCCAGTTCAAATTGTAAGGTCAAAATTTGTCGCACAGTGTTATTTGTCTGAAATAAATTGTTTTCTTCATGTAAGTAAATATTTTGTTTATTTAAGAAAGCTTCACATTTAATTGAAAAAAATGAATTACTTACTTCAAGTAAATGTTTTGTTTCTTTAAGTAAGATTCTACTAAACCTGAGATAAAAAGTCAACTAAATATTTACTTGTATTAAACAAACCATCAGTTTAAAAAGTCAAATAAACCCAAGTTTTCCACTAAATAAATATCTTCTTGTATCATATCGAAATAAATAATTTATTTGAGTCAAGACAGATATAGTAAAATCAAGAGATTACTTTTCTCTGTGTAAGCTCAGGTAGCCGTTTGTTTTCGGTGTGTTCCACAGTGGAACTTCCACTACACCAAATTGCCCGACACTGATTATCAGTGACTGATAAGACCCCCAATATAGGTGTCTGTAGCATGGGCGCCGGAAGAAATTTGTCTAGGGGGGGGCTCTTAAAGTTTTTTACAATTTTGATAGATGTTATTTATAATCAAGTTGTACTGTAGAAGTTCACATTAAACTTAAGTCAAATAAAATATCATCTTTATACAGGGTGTCCCAAAAGTCAACGAGATCCTTTGGAGGACTGAGAGACCAACTCATGACAAATATGACCTTAGTAAAAAATCGTTAGTTTTGACATTTTATGAATTTTGTAAAACTTGACACCTTAGATTAGTTTTTCGAGTGCCACAGCTACAAAATCTGCTACTAATTTAATTTTGAATTGTAATTAATAGCAGTCCTATTCAGGGTTTTTGTGTCAAGTTTCACAAAATTCATAAAAATGCCAATATCTTAAAAACTAATGATTTTTTACCAAGGTCATGTTTTGATATTCTGATTAGTCATGAGCTGACCTATGAGTCCTTCAAAGGATATCGTTGACTTTTGGGACACCCTGTATGTATATTTATAAATTTGACACAATATATTAGCGCCATCTGTTTATCAATTCACTAGGCTTATGAAGAAATCTATTCTATAGTCGACTTTTTCAACATATATAGTTCGTATATAGAAATATGTCAGCCAAGAGCGTGTCTTGCTCAGGGATGGGCAAGATCCGGCAAAAAGGATTTAAATCTAAATCCATAAATCCACACCATAAACTGGATCTAAATCCTCAATCATAAATCCATTACGTTATCTGGATTTAAATCATAAATCCTAAATCCACTTGCAAAAAAGGATTTAAATCCTAAATCCATAAATAAATCCTCTATTTTTTAAATATTTATTTTATTAATTTTTCAAGAACAGTAGCCGGATTATTTCACTTTTTAAGTTTTATTTAAGCTAAAACCCCTTGGATTCCAAATCAAAATTGATATGAACCTTATTGCACGTATAAGATTCCATCGAAGATCTTTCGAATATGAACATAATGATCTGTGGCTTCTGGTTTCTTCGCCATAGGATTATGAACGGAATCAGTAAACTGTGCTTCTGATTTCTTTGAACAGCCAGGCATTTCATTCATTTTACAACACTAGTGTTCATTAAGACGGCACAAATCTTAAATTATCTAAGATAACAAATCTAATTTATCTAAAAAATAATGAACAAATGATAACGATCAGCACTTACCGTCAAATTATGGAGTACCGGAATTTCTGGGTATGAATTTCCAGGGGGGGGCCCGGGCCCCCCCCCTGCCCCTATGTAGCGGCGCCCATGGTCTGTAGGTAGGTATTTGAAGTAGGTGGAACGCACTCAAAACAAAAACTCTGGCGAGGGAAGGTTAAATTCTTTCTCTTTATATTAATTACATAATTTAATTCACCCAACATTAGCGCAAATTATTTTAATTTAACACTTTATTGTTGTTAAGTAAATATGCTAAAAAGGTTACCAGAACATTTCAAGAAATTTTCCTTAACATCTTAAAAATGTTAGCACAACCATATTACTCCGACATATCAAAAATGTTTAATTAACCAGATTAGCAGATTAGGTCAAATATTCTCATTTTGTTCATTTGACCAATACTTGTTGTTCAATTCAATACAATTTGACATTTTTAGATGGTTAAGTAAACGTGCAAAAACCATTGCTTGTATTTAAAGTGCATAAAGAGTTGAATTAATATTTTTTTGTTGTTTCAACAGCTTATTTTTTTCAGTGCACGTTTTTTGCTATTTTAAATGGCACATAATACCTTTATCTAATTGTGTTTTAATTTATAATTAACAAACTAGAGTCACTAATTGGGTTATTGAATAATTAATTAATATATGTTTTTCATAGTTTTAATGTAGGTATATTTTGTATTTCAAACGGAAAACATTGCTATTACAATAGCATTGCATTTACCTTTACCAGGATATTTTGAACAACCAATCCTGTGGCGTCATTTGTAGTAACGACATTTACTACAATGTATATAAGAGTTTCAAAGTTATATAATAACACTTTAAGTAACTTAGATGGTCCTATAAAACTGAACTAGTACCTTAGGTTATATAAAATTACCATGAGCAATATAAGAGGGCTCAAGGTTGATACATTATTTCCGCCATCATTGTTTTTTATATAAAATAAATGTTAATTGAATTGTATTACAAAAACAGCTTAATTGACCAAACCAAGGTATAAAATTCACCACTTTAATGTAAGCACATATTTAAAGTAAAAATTACTTTGCACTTTAGGTCGTATTGAGTATACTCATCTAAGGTTTTTATAAAAACCTTAGATTTAAATTATATACCATTAATATTAATAGATTAATAGATAATTAATTAGATTAATATTAATGATTAATATTAATGAGATGACAATAAGAAAGATAGCGAACCTATGAAGAAATATATATTTAATGTGCCTGAGAAAGAGAGAAACATTAAAAAAAGGAAAAAGGCCGGTAGCAGTTCTTTAGGAAGTTATATAGTGGTTTCCATAATATTCCTGCTATCTCTAGTTATAAAACTTGGGATTTATAGCGATACTAAAATAGGTACCGATAACCTTCATAAACCCCAAATAAGTTATTTAAGAGGTATATAAGAGTGATATAAATATTTTTGTAACCAAATTAAGACATTTAGGTTTTATAATTTGGATGATATAAAATTTATGGAAACCACTATAAAAACAAAAATGAGCCGCCATGGCGCGCCACCCAAGCAGCATTTTTGGTTCCAAAAACCATTACGTCATTTTCAAGAAACACCCGCTTTCAGGAAAATGAAGATCAAAATATTTTTTTTGCTTAAATTGACTTTGGGTTGGATTTTTATAAATGTTTAGAGTTTTGTTTACTTACATTTAAGACAGGCAGTGCACTTTTTAATTTTTTTTACGTTTTTTTCAGAAAAATGTGTTTAGGTAGCTTTATATATCTCCACTGTGTTACCAATTTGAAATCCAAAATTGAATTCAATAAAAAAAGTTGTTTTAAAAATAATTTGAAATAAAATGTAGGCACTTAGTTCACAAAATTTTGACTCCAATTTTTTATTTCATTTTTTATTAAAAATTGTGTGCTTTTTTTTAAATATGTATGTTTGTTAAGTAACTTTTTAAAAGAAACCATTCCGATTCTTTGTTAAAAAACAATACCATTAATATTTTCTTTTAGTCACTGTATTAGTGAATTAAACTCTAATTTATAAACACGTATTACCAAGTGATAGTGTATAAAAATCAATTTAAGTATTTTTTTTTAATAAAAACTAAAAAAAGTAAAAAAGGACTTAATCAGATAACGTAAAAAAGAAACTTTATAGTGGTACGATTTTAGAGTAATGCATAAACAAACAACTTAGATTTCTAAATTGTAGACACCCTTTTTCTTTGACTATAAGCTGGTGAAGGTCCCTTTTAGTACTTTTATATTGCGTGGAATTTTTCCTTGGATGTAATCTATATCATGAGTTGTAATTACAAATAATTTTAAATTGGTTAATCATAAACTACTTTTAATAAAAGCGATGGTAAATATCCACTTTGTTGACGAAAAATTCTATTGCGTTACCCTAAATTCCATTGCATTACCATAAGTGGACTCGGTAACGCAGTGGAGAAAGTTTTGTAAAACCATATTTAAAAAATAATAATTAAGTCATTAATTACTCTCAATGAGCTTTAGTGCCCTAAAATAAACATAAACATGAAAAATAGTATTTTTTCTTACCTTATTTTTATTATTTTTTTGAGTAACTTAGCGGACAAACAATTATTACATTCGCGTTACCCGCACCTGTTTCAACCGATATCTTCTTCCTGATTGAATAAATAAATTCAGCTGGGTAACGTGTACGTTCGAACATCATTTGTTGATAACGTAAGTACCAAAAAATTGGTTTTTTTAATATTAACTAGGATGATATGGATTGCTATAAAGCAACACAAAGTTCTGGTTATTCAATATTAAAAAAAAAATATGTATGTAAGTTTTATAAAACTCTTTATGGGACATGCGAAAATGTGTGATTCACAAGTTTCAAAATTGTTGTAACAAATACTTAAATTGTTGCTTGGGCACTCTTGTATAGTGTACAAATTACTACAATATAAAAACTTACCACTGTTGATAATCGCCATTCCAGGCACAACAAGCACTAAAACAAACAAACCACACGTATGCATGATGTCGCGTGTTCGACGAACCAATTTAAACGCTTCGTTCGGTTTCGCGCCAAAACATAACCTCACCACTTGTTCGTGAAATCGCGCGCTTTTGCACGTGGTGTTAGGAGCTCGCGTCGCGTGTCTGCACGAGCCGCGGAACGCAAATGAGCCGGTCGCCGCGTAAACTGGACGGTTTCGAAGGAAGGGTTTGCGACTGGCGTCGCGACGGCCCATTATGCTCTCCGATAGGGGGTCGTGGTGTCCACGGAGCCGCCGGGGGTCCCCCGACCCATCGTTACTCCCAATTGTTTCGAGGATTTGCAACACGTGGCGCGAGAAAACAACTCAACTCGACACTTGCCCCGTGACGGAATTGTATTATTTTATCGGTGCGCACAAAAATAGTCTATTATAATAGACTATATGTGGGTGATTATACAGAAACTATCATTTTTAATATAGTAATTTGAAAATAGTTTTTTTGTTCTAATTTTATTTTTTAATTATGCAAATACGACCTTTGGTTTAAAATAAACCCTGCAAAGTGAAAGATCAAACATAATTGTTTTCTGAGCAGATTTGCGATGTTTTTGTTAAAACTATATCCAGAGGAATGACGAGGCAAGCAGAGGAATTATTATTTTATTCAAAAAGGCAAAGGAATACAATATAGCATAAAAATTAAATAAGTAATTAAAAATAAACTTAAATATAAACTTGTTTAAAAACAAAACAGTATCATAAAAACTAAAAAATAAAATAAAAAACAAAACAAAAATATAAACCTTTTTTTGAAAATGGTCATGAAATAAAGCAGGTTTATATTTTTGTTTTTCAAGTAACTATTTTATTTATATGTTACTGTATTGTATGTTCTATTATAGGAACTTTAATTTTATACAAATTCGTCAATTCAGTTTTTAAATTTATTATACAGTTTGGAGCCTTGCTGAATTATTCCGCGACGTGGTAATATTGTTAACGTACATACGAAACATCTGAGATTTCCACCCCAAAATGAATATCACTGAGATATATTTTTTGCTTTATTAGTCTATTTTTTGAACAATAGTCTTCTTTTCCAGGATATAGAATACTATTTAAATCGAATTCCAAAAATTTTTGAATTGCATTTTTTTCTTGGCATTCACAATTTTTTTTTAAACACTGCTTTTGGGTATGTGTGCCGGCCACCATTTACAATTTTCCTAATTTGTAAGGCGATAATTTGTAACAATGTCTTAACATCCCAGAGGAATAGTGCCAGGGAAATGGCGATTTCTTAGTTTATTTCACGTCGGGAAGAAAAAAACAAATCTTAACCTTAAAATTGGTTTACAGAAAAGTAAACCCATAATCTCGTATTCAAATCAAATAATGGATGCAACAAAAATATAAATAAACAAAATACACTTACCAGAGAAATGATCTGTCTGGGTGTGACATTTTAAAACAAAACTTAAAAAAAACACGTATTGTTTTGTTAAAAAATATTTGCTTGCTGACTCAGAACCAGGTTAGGAAAAGAATCTCTGGTTGCGTGCACGGACCTATCGCCATCTAGGATCATATATTTAGGTATCTTTCGCAAACCAGATGAATGACCGCTAAAGGTGGTAACAGATTTTATATATTTTTTAACAAGGTGGTTTAAAAGTAATATATATTTTTAGCTTAGTTTTACTGATATTTCAGGGTTCTGAAACCAAAAATAAAATATTACAATTATCAAGTGAATATTTATTTTTTCTATTCTGCCTTTATGTTAGATGACTCCAGTTATATCATGCCAGGGAATGATATTTTAACAAGATTTTTTTCCACAACTTAATAATATTGAGTATATTTTCATAAATTCTTTAGGAAGCCAATATAGTTAATCTATATCTTTCTTAAAAAAAATTCAATTGTAGAAAATAATTTGTTTAGTCAAAATTTTGACCAGTAACAGCAAAAATTATAGTTTCTATAGAATTACCCATGTATTAAGTTTGATAAACGCCAAAGTTTATAAACGAGGTGCATACTATAAATTTTCTACAACAACTACTTAATAATTAATAATAATTAAAAATTATTTTAAAATGATTTAAATCAAAAATTTGTATAGAGCCCCATCTATGAAACAATAGGGGAATCTGTGTGTCACCGTCAAATGTCAAATTTTTATATTTTATAAACACAGATTATAAAGGTTATAAATCGAAATGTATTTCTTGAAAATGGACAGTTTTTCACAGTGAAAGTAAAGAAAATGTTTTATGAGCGCTTTACAGTCGAGTCCGTGCCCGAATTTTAGTTATAGTTTACTGCCGGCGAAATTAAAAGGTCAGTACTATGTTCATAAAAACAGCTCAAATATTGGCGTTGATAAACTATTTAATACATTTGTATTTTTGTATTGAAATAATAAAATAATTTTCACATTTAGTATTATTTAACTTAAAACTAATTTCAGCCCGTGACTAAAAACCTGTTGCTAACTTCAGCCCGTGACTAAAACGCAATAAAGCCACAACTTGTCAATGTGTATTTAAAAGGTCACTTAATGTCATGGAAACATGTACGCTAATGGGCGTTTTAAAGGTGGGAGTAGAAAAAAATATTTTTGTAGAAAATTAAATTTCCTATAATAAAAGTGTTTTTTACTTTTTACCTGTACCTTTAACCGTTGTGCCGTAAAACAACATAGGACTAATTAGTTTAGTCCTTTAAATTATACATTTTATTGCATTATTGCAGGGAACCTTTTTTATATAAAACTGAATTTCCTATAAGAATTTTATAAACTTTAAATCTTTTGAGGTAAAATGCAAAAATGCTGATTTTATTAAAAATATTACTTTCGTGGACGTATACAGGTCTAAATATATTAATTGTAGTAAAATTGATGAAGTAACTTCTTAAAAAAAAACATCCAATCATGTACAAATCGCACCTATTTAAATTGTAGTAACGTAAAATGTCGTTAAGTTAAAGTTTAAGTTAAGCTAAAGAAGCATCCTAGCAGATAAATATTTCCAGGTAAAGTATTTTTTTTAATGAAAATATTAGTGTTTGTGTTTTTTCTTTATTTAGTTTTAATCCGTTTGCCTCAAACCAATCTTGTGCATGCTTATTGCTTCAGTGGACTTTTGTTTTAGGCTTTTTGTATTGTTGGAACTATTTAAAAAGGTATTATCATCAGCATCGATGCATGATTTTGATGTGTTTACATTTGCTGTCAGATCGTTTGTGTATAGAATAAATAGGATTGGCCCTAGGATAGATCCCTGTGGTACCCCCATGTTTATTTGTTCTTCATTGGTTTGTATATCTTTCCACTCAGCTACTTGCAGTGGCGGCTCGTCAGGGTAGGCCTCTGAGGCCGCGCCTCACCCTTAAAATAAAGGAACGAACGACTTTTTGTATTTATATTTTTGCCTATTACAAGTGTATTTTTACAACAGTTCTACCCAATAAAAAGTAAAAAACCAATCAATCATACTAAGCGTAAATAAAAATCCAGGCGCAAATCGCGTCAAGTTAACGTGCATCGTTGAGAGTCGCTTGGACAGAGGCGAAATTTTCACAGCCTCGGAAGCTCCCATTTACCTCTTGAAAGCGAAAATGACTCACCAACAAAAATATCGCCGTAAGTTCGCGAATAAACACCGTAGATGAGGCGAAATTTAGTTAGCTTGGTTTGTTCTGATTGGTGGTCCGTTTATGGTGGGATGCCAGCGGAGACAAAGAAGGTTGCCAGTCTTCTCTTAGCGTTTGTAGAGCACGTTATTGTTTTGATTCAGATTAAATTATTTAAAACTTTTGGCTGATCTTTTATAGTTTTTGTCTCGATTAGTAAAATTTCTTATTTAATTATTGTAGGGAACACACTAAGGTAGATTTAGCAGTTTTTATTAAGCAAACTTTATATTTTGAAATAATAGATTGCATAATTCTTCAATTAGAGACGCGGTTTGAAAATTTAGAATTACTTTTAAATCTCACTGCAGACCCACAATTTTACGACCAAATAATAGATAAATTTTTAATCTTAAAAGATAGACGTATAGTATTTTATATTTTTTAATACTTAGGTAGGGGTCGACTTTTTATAAAAAGTCGACTATAGTTTTATTTTTATTTTTTGATTAATTTATTTATTTTTAACTTTTTTAAGACTATATTTTAAGTTTAAGATTAAAACTAGTCTTTGATGTGATATTTTGTTTGTTTTGTTTTATAGAGTTTATTTTTTGGTTTAGTAGTGCTATCGGCTCCATTTTAAAAAAGGTCAACGCGTCGCAGAATAATACCTCCCGGGTGACGTGGAAATTTATTCGTATATAGACAAAATTAACCTTATGTAGCCTCACCCTCCTGTACACCCACGAGCCGCCACTGACTACTTGTCTTCGGTTTCTTAAGTAAGATGAAAGTATATTGTGTGCTGGACCTCTGATTCCATAAAAGTATAGTTTGTCAAGCAATATTTGGTGGTTTACACAGTCAAAAGCCTTACTTCTGTCCAAACATGCTACCTCTGTATCTTGCTTATCCTCAAAATTTTCAATAATAGTTTCAATGACTTCAATCATAGCAGATATGGTCGATTTGTTTTTTTGAAAGCCATGTTGAGATGGAATTATGATTTTCTTTTTTTCTATAAATTTTACGATTCTTACTTTTAATAACCAATAAATGTTCTTTTAAAACGAATCTCCCTAATAATGCATAAAGCCCATTGTTTATAATAATAAATAAATAATAGTATATTAGAGAACTAATGCGTCTAAGACGTCCATAAATTGTCGTCGTGCGACAAAAGGTCTTATTACATGCGTTCTTTATCCAATTTTATCTATTTTGCAAAAATTCTATAAAAAAAATAATTTCATACCTTATATTTAATTTGGTCAAATTTAACTTTAGATATTTGGTATCACAGTCATTGGTTTGAAGGGTTAATGTCAAAATCGATTCGCCATGCCGTCCTTAATTTACTTATTTACAATAAGCGGCTGTTAATGTTAAAGAAGAAAAAAAGGATTTTCTTTTATTGCCAGAAAAGTCTCGTAAGTACTAGAAAAATCATAAAATTATTATAACCAATATGCATGCAAAATATTATTTTACTAGTAGATATGGGTGATTCTACAAAAGTAGGACAACTTGATGACATCAGTCAATAGAGTAGGTATTTTAATATTTTTTGTAAATATTTTAGTATATATACATATATACAAAAGATTCAGGTTTTTTTTAACTTGTCCACCCAATTTTAATGTATTTTTTCAAAAGAACGTTTGTAGAAAAACATAATAAATATTCAAAACATCAGTACCTTGGCGTGTCACAACTCCTGAATCAAATATTTGAGTGATTTTATTTTAAAAATATTCAATTTATCGTAAATTTTTCAATTTCACTACAAACTTAATATAAAACATTAAATAATGTATTTTTCATATTTTATCATAGATTCGAATAATAGCAATTTTTAGAAAAATGATAATCTTTGTACTCACTTTTACCCGTCAGTTCTGTGTCCAATGTTAAAATTCAAAAATCCTGCGACATATTGAAGTTTAAATGTCAAGTCCTCGTTTTAACCCAAGTGTTGGTAAAAAATTACCTACAGAGCCCGCCCTTTGCACGACAGTCATCTTGAAAACAATGCAAGCGGCGAAGTTGTGGTGAATGCACGTATAGTTCCAGTCAAAATTTCCGTACAGTAATGAGTAGTTATTTTCTTACGTATATATATTCCATTGTAATTTATATAAGGCTATATGTGATTTGTTGATGAGTGGCATCCACTAATAAAAAATATCAGTAAAATACTTAATTCCGAATTATAATCTCAAATTTGTATCCCATTCATCAGTACCGTGTCGTCAGTTCCATGTTCGATGTTTTGGCTATCTTTTTTTCGCAAACTTCAAATTAAATTCTGCTTGCGCAAAACTTGTTTATTTAATGTCATTATAAACTCATATACATTTGGTGTGGATCCCATATCTAATAATTGAGATATCGGTATACCCAAAATCCACCAGCCGCCACTGATGTGTGGTATTATTTGATTTTAAGATATTTAATGTATAATATGCTTAAAGTTGCAATAAATCTTATATTTTCCAATAAATTATGTATTTAATTAGTACCCTGGTATACTCGTCACTTCCCTTGCATACAAATTTAGAAAACACAGATATTTCAGTCAAAATAGATAAAGGTTTTTTATTCAAACTTTTGATGCCGCGTCGTCAACGTTCAAATAAAAATAAGCCGCACTTTTTATAAAAAAAAAAAGTATGAAAAAGTCAGCTGTCACGCGTTTAGGTATATTCTCTGCAATCCAGGGGATTAGGCGGTTTTTAATTTAAGTGCTAATGAACCGCAACGGTTGGGGGATTAGAGGCAAGTCGCGTGTTGCAAATCTCCGGGACAATTGCGCATAATGAGCCTTGAATAGCTTTAAAAAGAGGGGCTTAATAACTGCATTCGGACTTTTAGACCATAATAATAGCGTTGATAGGGTGCAAGTTTAATATAGAACTTACGTAACTGTGATTTTAAGGTGGGATCTCCATTTGGAGAGTTTGCATAGAATGTCTTCAAAATTCAATTCACAACACAGATTTAAATAATTAAAAATATTGGTTGGTATCAATGGGTCTGAATTGGACTTACTGGATTTAATTGGGCACGATATAAAACCATGGTATTTTCCATGTGGACCAAGTCCAATTAGGATTCTAATGTTTTTATTGGTTTCGATTGGATAAAGCTACCCATGGGTAATGTCCAATTGAATTCAATTGGACATTTCCAGTGTAAGATTCGAAAAAGGAATCTGCTAATTGGTTATTCCCAATACTTTAAAATATGGAAAAATCCAATTAGGATTCTACTGTTTTTAGCGGTTTCGATTGGATAAAGCTACCTATAGGTAATTTCCAATTGAATTCAATTGGGCATTCCCAGTGTAAGATTCGAAATTCTGCTAATTGGTTAATCCCAATACAATACAAATATCGCAAGAGGGCTCTCGTGTAGCTGCGCAAAACCAACGAGGTTGAGGTTATCATAAAGAAAAAGCAACACAAAGAAATCTTTGGACGCCATTTATTAGCGGTTTTTTTTATTAGTCGATTTCTGTGGTAAGTGCCTAGTGAAAGTAGTGTACATTTTATATGTGTAAGGTTTAGGGACGATGGCGTAAGAATGGTTGTAACAGCGGACAAAATAAAAAAAATTTGACATAAACAATATCGACTTCGACCATGCCTACAAACATCCTTTTCAAGAAAGACAAAAAAATTATTATAACCGAGTAATTTTATTTATTTTTTATTACTTTTTTTGTGATAGTAAGTTATATGTATCAATACATACATATATCACAAAAAAAAAATAAAGAAATAAAATTACTCAGTAACAATAAATTTTTTGCCTCTTCTGTAAAAAATGAATTCTGGTTTTTACCCGGTTGTCCTTCTGGGATCTAAAATTATTTTTGAATGAAAAATAAACTGGTACCGTAAAACGGGGTTACTTTGCACTTTGATGGGTAACTTTGCACCACTTTTATTAAATTAAAACCAATATTAAAAGGGGTTTATTTTAAAAAAAGATTCCAAAAACAAAACCTTAAAATGAATAAAATTTACAAATTATTATTATATATATTATTATATTTATATATACTTTTACAGCAGTGGTGCAAAGTTACCCATCAAAGTGCAAAGTAGGTATTGTCTAATCCAAATTAAAAAATATTAATTGGTTGGAATGGGTTTGGCGCTATGAATTACCAATTCATTATGAATTAATTCAATTACCAATTCATTCTTTGTGCATTTCTATTGGATTTAGCCAATAGAGACAAGCATATGCATGGATAAGTATTTTCCAATCCAAGCCGCTGACTTCATTGGAACTTACCAATAGGAATGCAACTGGAATGAATTGGTGATTCATAGCGCCAAAACACATTTCAAACAAATTCAAACCAATTACTTATTTTGTATTGGATTCTATTGGTCATTTACAATAGGGATTTCTTTAAGATAACGAAAAAATTTTAATTTTTTTTTCTCAAATTTGGAAATATTATTACTTATTTACTTTTTATCCAGCAAAAATAAAAATGGTCTTTTTTGACAAAACTGTTGTTTCTTAAAAATATAAGACGTTTTTGTCGCACGCGGACAATTTATAAAACGAGCGACGAAAGGTCTTATGACATGAGTTCTTTATGCTACTTTATCTATTTTGCAAAAATTCTATATAAAAAATATACCTTAAATTTAATTTGGTCGAATTTGACTTTAGAGAGTTGGTATCAGTCATTGGTTTGACAGTTAATGTCAAAATTGATTCGCCATGCCGTCCTTAATTTACTTATTTACAATAAGCGGCTGTTAATGTTAAAGAAGAAAAAAAAGGATTTTCTTTGGTGTCAAACAAAATTTATTGCCAGTCTCGTAATGACGTACTAGAAAACTCATAAAAATATTATTACCAATATGCAAAATATTATGCTGTTTAAAGTATAGCCAACCTATAAAATCAAAATTTTGGGTGAGTTAAAATATCTCATTAAAGCACCGAAATTTCGGTGCTTTAATGAGATATTTTAACCGCTTAAGCGGTGTTATAATGAAGTTATTATAAACGCAAAATAGATAAAATAAAGTATAGGCCATTATGTACAACATAAAACTGTAATTTAAAATCATTTTTATAATTTTTTAAATTGTTTAATATTTGTGGAAGATATAAGCTAATTACTAAACCACTGTAACTCCTGACCGACCTACTTTAACCCTTTGTATATGAAACGCGTCACGAGCGAGCTTGTGAGCGAGTGCTTAAATTAATGAGTGTATAGAAAAGTTTCTAAACGAGGTGCATACTATACTTTTTCTACGACAAATACTTATTATTATTATCTTAAAATGATTTAAATCAAATATTTGTATACCTAGTGCGCCATCTATGAAACAATAGGGGAATCTGTGTGTCACCATCAGTTTGCTTACAATTCTATTGACTAATAATTATTCCAATTAAAACCTGAGATAGGTATCTTAAATAATTAATATCATGATATTTTGTTACATATTAACAAAATTCCACTTGAAGTAGCAATAAATACTATTTTAATTAAAATTATTTTGCTTACTAAAATACCCTTTTGGGGTAATATTATTATTATTATTACATGTTACGAAATTGTACAACTGGTTATTGGCTGTTGTTTACAAGTTCTTAAAGGTTTTCCAACTTCAGCATCTTTTACAAGGGTGGATAAATCTTCATAATCTGGATAGGCAAGTGTGGATAATTTCGAATGAACCAATTCTCCATTAATTAAAATCTCAAATGATCCTAAAATATAAAATGTACTTTCCTTATAATTTTTAAAACATTAATGTAAAATGATAAATAAATAAGGTTTTTGTCAGTGTCAAGCTAATTCGTCTTATTTTATAAAAATAATACAATACCTATGTTTTTTGTGCTCCAAATTAAGAGCTTTATACACAAAAATACATTTATAATAAACGATTTATTGCATTACTTTTAGAAAATAAGACGAAATTGGCTTGACACTCACAGAAAATTAACCTTAATTATTTCCATCAGTCACGATGTGTGGAGCAAGTACCTCTTCTTCCTTCATGTCCATTTATTTTTATATCTGGATGGTTTTCCGAAATATATTTTGCCAACTCTTCATATTGCTTTAAATAGCCGCATTTATTGCTGAAACACTTAGTTTATTAATTTTATACTTTAATATTTATTTATTAATACCTACCAATATTCAATATCAATGGACATTTTAAAAACTTTAATAAAACTACATTAACAAAATATTTTTATATAACCTTAAAGTTGGACACAAAAGTTTTATATTATGCAACCTACTACACACAATCGATCGGTACAATTCGAACGAAATTCCGGGCAGTTTTGCGCACCACGTGATCATCTTTGATTTATTTTCCGCTGTTTATTTAAATTTAAGTAGTAGTTTTATAGTAAACATGTTTTTAAACAAAATATTCTTTATTTATACTACAAACAACATTAGTTAAACCATTTTATTTATCTAGCCTTAATACAGTTTACAACAATTGTGTTTCATAGTTTTATTGACAGATGACGGCACCAGTAAAAATTCGCATATAGTTAAGTATATGAAAATTCGCACTGTTTTCCTTAATAAAACCAATAAAATAACGATAATAAATCCGAATGGAATACACTAACTGGGAGCACGAAAATTGTAAACAGGCTTGCGAACAATAAGAAATTGCGTTTGGTGTGTAACTTTTTGATTTTTAATATGCAACCAAGGTTACACATTTTTATTGGGTTGGTATCAAACTTCTAATATTTATGTGGTTGGTACCAAGAAATTAACCTCAATTTTGACAGAAAACGTTTGGTTTCGTTTATGTAAATGATTTTGTTATTGTAAACACACAATGTCTCACTTATCCAGAAGGGAAGTCGACGAGTTAAAACCGTCAATAGAAAAGGCAGTTTACAAGGTGATAGGAAGCAGCAATTCCTCTTTGGCAAGTACTGCATTACATTGCTTAAACTCGGGATATGATAAACGAAAGACTTGCGATAAACTTAGTTCCTATGTAGAGAGCAAAAAGGCTTCCAAACTAGCAGAGAAAATTTTCGATGTGGTCGAGGATTATAAGGATCTACATCGTTCTAAAAAAAGGCATCATGAGGAACCTCGGGAGAGAGAGTCGAAACGAGCTAAACCCTCTAGGTTTGATGATAATAACTCTCGTAGTAGACCTTCTGATCCTAAAAGACTCGAGGAAGAGAAAAAGATGTTTGAAGCCCCACACAAAAAGAATGTTAACATTTCAAATATAAATATACCTACACCGAGTATATATGGGATTCCAGCTGGTTTACTTAATAGGGGTGATGCAGATAAAGCGCGGAAAATTGCTCAACTACAGGCTCAAATTAAAAGTAAATTATCCTCTGGAATACTAGCAAATGTCATCCAAATCCCTGCTCTACCAGATAAACCTACTCCACTTATATTGGATGAAGACGGTAGAACTGTCGACAAAACGGGGAAGGCCGTGCAACTCACACATGTAGTGCCAACATTAAAAGCCAACATAAGGGCGTTAAAAAAAGAGCACCACAAACCCCTTCCGGGGGAGAAAGCTACTGAGGACGACAGAGAAACTCGCTTTATTGATAACCGAATCGGAGTTAAACCTGCATCAAGAAACAAGCGATTCTTCAGGTTCCACGAGCCTGGTAAGTTTCAACAGCTTGCAGAACGTCTTCGGATGAGGGCTCAACTGGAAAAACTTCAAAATGAGATTTCTCAGATTGCTAAAAAAACTGGTATTTCTTCTGCCACTAAGTTGGCCTTGATTGCTAAGTCTGAGGGGCATAGCGATGAAATTCCGCAAATGGAATGGTGGGACTCTGTTATTTTGGTGGATAATTTAGATACTATGAAGGATGATCGGATTCTTATTAAAGAATCTGCAATTAATACTTTGGTAGAGCATCCAACACAAATGAGGTGTCCAAGTAAGTATATTACGTTTTTTTTAAATTTTAATTGTAAATAGGATCTAAATTATAGATATCTATTGATATGGATAATAACACATATGTATGGCATGCCATTTTAGCATTTATTAGATAAAAGTTTAAAGATTAAAGTTTAGCACTTAAATTATGTTTTAACAGAAATTTATTGAGTTAAATTTTTTTAAACTCAAAACAATTGATAGTCAACAAAATATTTTAAGTATAAAATGCAACAGTAAAAATTTATGTTTAAAAATATTGATTTTTAAAAGTTTTGGTTATAATATTTTTTTCTACAAAATTATTAATTTTTAAAGAGTCATTTAAATGATAGTTGATAAATTTTTAATACAAAAATTCTTACATTACATTTAAATGTAAGTTTAAAATTTTAATGTAGTAATTTTTGGATTAAAAATTTATCGACAATCATTTAAATGACTCTTTACAAATTTAAACCAAATTTTTTTATTTTTAACAATTTTATAACAAATTTTATAACTTTTCATTTAAATGTCAGTCGATAATTTTTAAATTACATAGTGTAAACGTAGCTTTAGTACAAGGCACAAGGGTTTGGGTTCGGAGCCACGATGCAGCCAGTTTGATCCGCAGTGTTGCCAAATTGTGCTTGCTCCATAAATATTTGACGCGTTTTACAAATTATCGTAATGAAATGTTTCTTTATTACATAAATGTAATAATAGAACAACAAAATTTTTAGTGCCTAAGTTAATTCGACAATTAAAAAAATTTTTTTCTAATTTTTAAGAGAAAAAGTTTTAAAATGTAGTGCCACAATATTACGTGGATGCATCATACAAATTCCCAGTGCCGTTTATAGTTTTCCGTACGGGATTGTATCTTCTACCTCACCACAAAATCCGGAAAGCGGGAATTTGTATGTTACATCCATATACCTATAACCTATACCTATAGATTATAGGTATATGGATGCAACATACAAAATCCCGCATTCCGACTAACTTATAGGTATGTGGTTGCATCCACGTAATATTGTGGCACTACATTTTAAAAAAAAAATTCTCTTAAAAATTAGAAAAAATGTTTTTTAATTGTCAAATTAACTTAGTACAATAGGCCCTAAGAATGTTGTTATTTTATAATTAAATTTATTTAATAAAAAAATAAAACGCGTCAAATATTTATGGAGCAAGCACGATTTGGTAACACTAAAGCTATGTTTACACTTTGTAATTTAAAAATTATGTAAATGTAAAGTTATAAATTTTGCCTTAAAATATATCACTTTAAAATTGTTAAAAATAAAAAAAATTGGTTTAAATTTGTAATTGTAAGAGAATTGTGGATAAATTTTTAATCCAAAAATTACTACTTTAAAATTTAAAACTTACATTTAAATGTAATGTGAGAATTTTTGTATTAAAAATTTATCAACTATCATATTAATGACCCTTTAAAAATTTTAAAAGTAATTTTGTGGAATAAAATAATATAACCAAAACTTTTAAAAATCAATATTTTTAAACATAAATTTTTACTGTTGCATTTTGTATTTAAAATATTTTTTCGCCCAGCACATATAAAAATAAATCATATCAAACCTAAAATTATGACCGAAAATAATATTTATTGTCTTTAGGGTCGCTAAACTCATATCGTCCCTAGTTTTTCACATTCTAGACACCTTTGACTGACATTTATGTATTTTGGCATTTGACATTTTGACATTTGAGATTTTTAGACGTTTGTGTAAATCAAAATAAAAACGGACAACAAAAGTATAAAATAACAATAAAACCTAATTTAAATTTTGTAATAAAGTGAAAATAACTCGGACAGTGACGAAAAATTTACGAATACTTGACCAGATTTGAAAAAGAGGAAGCTAGCTAGCTGTTAAGACAATGCGTTGCAACTAGTGATGTAAAATACCCAGGTATTTACCCAAGTAGGGTATTTACCTGGGTATTTACCCAAATAGGGTATTTATAGGGGTATTTCGATTTAAATCTTGCATAAAAATAGCTTGAAATCAATAAATAGTTTTATTCAATATAGTGAAGTATACTGTAATTTTTTTTGAAAAGATAAAAATAAAAAACCAAAAACTTGGTTTTTTGAATTTTTCACATAAATTTTGAGGTTATGTAAAAAAATTGTAATTACAAAAGTTGTAGATCCTTTTATTACTTACAACTTTGCCATTTAACTTTTTTCCATAGGGCTTGTAGTTTTGCCGGAAATCGAGATAAACCATTTTTTAAAACCCCCCCTCCCACTTCCCGAAGTCAGATCGCCCGTAATTTATTTTTCCTTTCATTTTTATTATATTCTTCTCCTTTTCCAATGGGTTTCATCCTACTGTTATTTTTTTTGGTTTCAAAAATTATCGACCCTGGTCTATGTGTGCATTTCAACAATTAAGCGGTTGTCCACGATTAAGTGCGTTCAGAGACAATTCTAGTACGTTTATGTTTATATGGTTTAATAGGTATTTAATAAGTATAAATAATAACGCATTTATCAAAAATACCCAGTTTTGGGTAGGTAAATAAAATTTGGGTATTTACCCAGGTATTTACCCAAATTTTATTTACCTACCCACTGGGTATTTACCCTATCTACATCACTAGTTGCAACGGTACGAAAAATGCTATGAATTATTTAAAAACTGGAAAAAGGATCAAAAACCCAATCACTTAAAAGAAAATGTATTAGTTGCTTATCTATCGGAAAGATAAATGATAATTCTAATTAAACATCAACTTCATCTGTAGAAATAAGCCTTCAAATTCTGGTACTATCCACAATAATTGTTGTAATTAATGTTAATTATGCCTTGAGCACAATTATTGTGCTCAAGGCATAATTAACATTAATTACAACAATAAATAAATTCGTAAATTGTTACTAAAGTTTTTTTATAAAATTCCGTTTATATTAATAAAATTTAAAAAAATAATTTGTTTGATGCTAGGCGAAAAACAGGTGTGTGTCACACAGTTAATAGCCGCGAGCTGCTAAAGCTAGTTTTCTGCCCTTGAGACACAATATACTATTGTTGCCTATCAATTGTTTTGAGTTTAAAAAAATTTAACTTTATAAATTTCTGTTAAAACAGAATTTAAGTGCTAAACTTTAATCTTTAAACTTTTATCTAATAAATGCTAAAACGGCGTGCCATAGAGTCCCATGCTACAATTTCATTAGTGGCAAGGGTCTTGCCACTAATGAAATTGTAGCATGGGGCTCTATCAACTTGATTGTCTTTAAGCCATTTTGAAATATAATATTTGACAATGTTTTTCAAACAATTAATGTAGGTAACTAACTCTGTAAAACTTCCAGCCGACCCGATAAAACCGGTGTACATGCCCGTATTTCTGACGAAAAAGGAGAGAAAAAAGCTGCGCAGGCAGAACCGCCGCGAGATGTGGAAGGAGGAGCAGGAAAAAATCCGGCTCGGGCTCGAACCGCCGCCCGAGCCGAAGCTGCGCATCTCGAACCTGATGCGCGCGCTGGGCACCGAAGCGGTGCAGGACCCCACCAAGATCGAGGCGCACGTGCGCGAGCAGATGGCCAAGCGGCAGAAGCTGCACGAGGAGGCGAACGCCGCCCGGCAGCTGACGGCCGACCAGAAGCGCGAGAAGAAGATCAAGAAGATCAAGGAGGACACGAGTCTGGGCGCGCACGTGTCGCTCTACAGGATCAGGGACCTGCACGATCTCGCTTCGAAGAAGTTCAAGGTCGAGACGAACGCGAAGCAGTTGTTTATGACCGGATGCGTGCTGATGTACCCCGATTGCTGCGTTGTGGTCGTCGAAGGGGGACCGAAGCAATTGAAGAAATACAAAAGGTAAATACACATACAGCCAAAATGTACATTTGATGCCGTATTTTGGCCTGCCAAACTCGAAAACAAGGTGTGCCTTAGGGTGGTCGTTAAAAATCAATTAAAAGCTTCTTTTTGATGAAAAAACACTGGAATTTTTTTTTTCACTTTTTTTAAATAAAATTAAAAGTGTGGTGAAATTTTTACTTGTGTATATATGTATATCCCTGATATCAAAATTTGATTCTAAGAATCTTCTAAGAAGATATGACCCGGAATAATGGAATATTCTTTGAACCTTCCCTTATTGCTAATAATATTCTTAGGGACTTTTAATGATGCAATTAGATTCTCAGAAGCTTCTTAAAACCTTCCTAAAAAGCATCCTAAGAACATTTAAAGAATACGTTTTTGGAATGTTCTTAGAAGGTTTCTTATGGAGCTTCTAGGAAGCTTTTGGAGAATATTTCCAAATATGTCAGATACCCACGTTCTAATATGTTGGATTCTACATTCGTAAAATTCTTCAGAAGGCGACAAATACGCTTCACTTCCATAATATGAGTGAAATGTATTTGTCGTCCCCTTAAATAATTTTGCGACATATTAATATATATTTATTTAAAAATATCAAATAAACAATTTTTGACCTTTAAACCATAAGTTGTATGACATTATTTCATAACAAGTAAAATTGGAAAATTTTGTGGGATAAGTCAGATTAGATTGAAGTTGAAGATAGTTAGTATTATTATATAATAAAAATGTTAATTCAGAAATAAAAAATCGGTATACAAATTAATAAATATTTATTTTTGACATAAAATAAAATATAAAAAAACAAAATATTTTCTTATAAAATAATTCTTCATAAAAGAAAAAACCAAATAGTTCTTCATAAAAAAAACATTTTTCATTGTATTTAAGTTGGATAGTTGGAAATTGAAAGATTTTATGTAAAAGCCGGATAATTTATATACCTATAGTAATAGTATATTCTGTAACAAGTTTGGAATACAGCATATTCCGCTCGAGTGAAAAGTTTGTCACACGAGCCGAAGGCGAGTGTGACGGTTTCACGAGAGCGGAATATGCAATTCCAAACGTGTTTCAGACTATACTTTTTCTACGCTTATAAAAAATACCACAGAAATAATTTAATTGGAAAAAAGTTAGGTTATCTTTTGACAGATGTTAGATTTTATGATGGTAGTAAATAAGATAATTTTTACTTACATAATTATGCAGAACCTAAATTAGGAAGTATAAAGAAGAAATGGACAAATTGTAAGGAATGACAAATAATTATAACTTAAGTTATTATTTGAATTTCAAATTTTGAATTAACTAATGACAGATGTAAACAATTAACCAGTGCTGCCATCTCTTTGGGACTAAGTCAAACCTAAATATTCTAATAGAATCCTACTAAATCGGCCAAACAGAATTACAACTAGCTTGTAAATAAGATATATTTTGGGTATTTTTGTTAACGCAAACTGTTTTAAATCCTATTGTATACTACCGATTAATATTTTCTACCGGGCCTTTCTGAAAAAACTAGATTTGGTAGGAAAACAAGTGAGTTATAAAATAAACATAGAGATGTCGCCCCCAGTGCTCATTCCATCATTAGAACCTGTGCGGAATAATTATTCTGTAACACTTTATGGAATATACGTAATTCCAGATTAAAAAGTCATATAAGAACTGTCAAATTCCGTAATAAGCGTAGAAAATAGTATATTAAAGTACAAGTTGCAGAAGGCCACATATTCTGCAACGTGTGATTTATACTATTTTCTCGATTTTAACTTTTATTTAGGTTTTTTTAATTGTTTTGTGGTCGTTGTTAGTTAGGGGATTTTTCTCGCAAAATGTCAGTTGGCAACACAAAATGACAATATTTGTTATCCTGCACAAGTACAACCTGAACTGCACTTTTACACATTAAACTTAAAATTTTGCATTAAAATGCATTGTTGGAGCAAACTTTATATTACAAAACAATAATAAAGGCTTCATTTTCAATAAAAGTAATGAATTTGAGGTTATTAATCAGTTTGACATTTTGGGGGTACCAATACTTAAAAACTAAATGTTACCAAAAATCGTTTAAGAATGAGCTTCATTCTTCAACGATTTTGCGTGCGAGAATATGACATTCTTACATAAAAATCGAGAATAGTACATTCTGTAACAAGTTTGGAATACAGCATATTCCGCTCGAGGAAAAATTTGACACACGAGCCGAAGGCGAGTGTGACGGTTTTACGAGAGTGGAATATGCTATTCCAAACGTGTTTCAGACATTATTTTTGTTAAAGTATATTCTCTGACCATATAATACTCTTAGTGTTTTAATTTACTTGCTCAAAAAGAGAAAAACTTACGTTGACTTTTAAAGACTTTTTATTAAATTAATTGTTCAACTTGACAAAACATATTCATTATTATTACAGGTAGTAAAACAATAGTTCAATGTAAAACAAAGTGTTCCAACATCAACACCTTCCCTCATTGACATATTGTCTTAAGTGTTATTACTCAAGACCCATCATGTTTATTAAATCTAATAGTCTCGGTCTAAATAGGGCTTTCGTCATGAGATCAGCAATCTGGTTTACGCCATCTATTTTCTCTACAACTATTTGACCTTCTAAGACCAGTTCCCGAACAAAGAAATGTCTTATTCTTATATGTTTGGTCCTTTTGTGAAATTCTGGGTTCTGAGCGAGTTTAATTGCGGCTTCATTGTCTACCATTAGAAGAGGCAAATTCTTTATTTTTATAATGCTTTCAAATAATGTTTTTAGCCAAATCAATTCTTTCGCACATTCACTCGCTGCTACAATTTCTGCTTCGGTGGTAGAAATCGCAACCGAACTTTGTCTCTTACTGCTCCATGATACTGCTCCTCCACTATACATACAAAGAACTCCAGATGTTGAACGACCCGTATTTATATCACCACCATGGTCCGCATCACTATATCCTTTCAAGTAACCTTTCTTGTGATTGTATTTGTATACAATACCAAGATCCAAGGTACCTTTAATATATCTGAATATTCTCTTTACACGCATATAATCCAGTGTGCTTGGATTTTCAAGACTTCTAGAACAAACACCAACTGCATAGGCTAAATCAGGACGGCTTCCTGTCATGAGGTACATTAACGCTCCTACTGCTTCTCTATATGAAAACTTTGGATCATCTTCCTCATCCTTCCCTGATTCAATAGATCCTTTTACTATTGGTGTTGACACAGGTTTGCAATCTTGCATCTTAAACCTTTCCAATAACTTTTTAGAATAGGATTTCTGACTAACTTTTATGGAATTATCTGGATTTTTCTGTATTTCCAGTCCCAAAAAGTATGATGCAGGTTTAATGGTTATCTTAAACTCTTTTTGTATATTTTCTATGAACTCATTCTTCATACCTTCATCAGTAGAAGCCAAAAGTCCGTCATCAACATATAAGGATAAAATAAGCATACCATTTCCATTTTCTTGCTTCTTAACAAACAAACAAGAATCTGCATCTGTCTTTGTAAATCCCAGTCTAATAATGACATCAACAATACGTTTATTCCAACAACGAGGCGCTTGTTTGAGTCCATAAAGGCTTTTCTTTAAGCGACAAACTCTTTCTGTATCATCTGCATAGCCTTCTGGTTGTTTCATGAAGATTTCTTCTTCTAACGAACCATATAAAAATGCTGTCGATATGTCAAATTGAGTTAATTCCATTTTTTCGCTAGCAGCTATACTAATCACAGCTCGTATTGAAGAAAGCCTTGCAACAGGACTGAAAGTTTGGTCATAATCTTCACCTGGTTTTTGTGAAAATCCCTTTGCAACCAATCTTGCTTTATACTTGTCTACTGATCCATCTGGGTTTCTTTTTATTTTATAAATCCACTTACATGATATAGCTTTTCTTCCTGCAGGTAAGTTATCTAAGATCCATGTTTCATTTGACCTATGAGCTTCCATCTCTTTGTCCATGGCATGTAACCATTGGTCTTTTTCACCACATCGAATAGCTTCTTTATAAGTATTTGGTTCATTTGTTTCAAGTATATTTGCAGCAACTGTCATTGCATAGTCTTCAAATCGAACTGGTTTTCTTAGTCTTTCTCTATTGCGTAATTCTCTTTCATAAACCTTATCTTTAAAACCATAAAACTCTGAAGTTATGCTTTCTCTATCTTCATTATTTTGATTTTCTAAAAGTGAATTCTCATCTTCTTTGACTTCTTCACAACTTTCTCTTTCAAGACTAGGAAGAAGTATTGGTTCAGGATTTGAGAAGGAGATTTCATCAAAAATAACATCTCTAGATCTTAATAACTTCTTTGTATCTGGACACCAAATTCTATAACCGTCATCATTGTCATATCCCACCAGTATTCCTTTTTCAGCTTTTTTATCCAGCTTTCTTCTTCTTGACTTGGGAATATGCGAATAACATGTACTTCCGATTACACGAAGATGTGTCAGACATGGTCTCTTTTGATACCATACTTCATAGGGAGACTTGTTGCTTTCACCAGAAACGCCTGATCTATTTAGAATATAAACTGCAGTATTTATCATTTCTGCCCATAAGGTCTGAGGTAAACCTTCTCTTGCATGCATCAGTGCTCTGCTAGTTTCAACTATGGTTCTGTTGTCCCGTTCTGAACACCCGTTTTGTTGAGGAGTATAGGGCATCACTAATCTTTGATGAATTCCATGCTTACTTAAAAGCTCTGTGATTTGCCCATTATCAAACTCACCTCCATTATCTGACAGGAATTCTTTAACAACATAACCAGCAACTTTTACCTCTGCTAGAAATGTTCTTAGGTGAATTACAACTTCTGATTTTTCCTTCATGAAGAATACTCTTCGAAATTTACTGTAATCATCTTTGAATAGACAAAAATACCTAAAGTTTCTCCCTGAGTTTTCAAAAGGTCCACACACGTCAGAGTGAACTAGCTCTCCTGATTGTGTAGCTCTCTCTCTAGTACCAAATTTCATGACATGTGCCTTCCCATAAACGCAACCTTCGCATAACTCGCTATCTAAAGGTACATTAATTGAAAAATCTCTCTTCAGTATCTGTCTAACATGTCTTTTATTCTGATGACCCAGTCTCTCATGATAAAGTTGAAGCAAGTTACCTTTTTGTTCAACTTTAACTTGATTAGCTTGCGGTTTGACATTTTTAAGAAATAACTTGTAAAGTCCTCCATTTTTACTTCTGTTACCAACTAAAATTGTCTTTTGTTCAATCATAAAATGACAAGCTTCTGCTGTGGAAACAAATTGGCTTTTTGGATTTTTATCTTGAGCTGACAAAACCGAAAACAGATTCTTTTTGATAGATGGTACATACCAAACATCTTCTAATATATGCTGTTCGGTTTCTCCATTAACACAAGCTACAACCTCAATTCTACCTTTTCCTAATGCCTTAACACCATCACCATTTGCAGTAGTCACTGTGTAGTTATCAGTAAATGACTCATAGTTTTTATAAACGTCTCTCCTATTACAAATATGATTGGTTGCACCGTTATCTACGTACCAATTTTCTGAATCATTTGTAGTAGTTAGTATAGTCGATGTTAAAGCCAATAGTGTCTGCTGATTATTAACTATCTTGGACTGACTGTTATTAGTGCTTTTTCCTGGTTTAGGTGGTCTTCCATCTGATTTCCACTTAGAACATTGTCTTACTTTGTGCCCAAACTGAAAACAGTACCTACATTTGAAGTCTTTCTTGTGTTTTGAACTCCTATATTGACTGTTAACTGCTAACACCTCTTGACTATTTTCATTCTTATTTGCCAAAGCCTTTTCAAATGCACACAGCTGACTTGTCAAATTCTCAACTGTTCTTTCTGATTTTACCATCAGCAACCAGCTGGATTTAAATGAAAAATAATCATCTGGTAATGTTCCTAGTATTTTACAAATCAATAAAAGTTCTGGCAAATTACAACTACAAGAATTACCACTTGCAGATTTTTCTTTACGGACCTCAATTTGTAACTGATTCCATAAATTTTTAAGTTTTGAAATGTGCGTTGCAATATCATCATTAACATCTTTTCTGTAGCTAAAGAATTGCATACACAAATCATATGACTTCTCTTCTTTGGCACCGTCATAAAGTCTATGAAGTTCTAACCACATTTCTCTAGACGTTGTAAATCTCATTACTTTCTCTAGTGTTTCCTGAGTCATATTTATTGTCAGTAAAAGTAAAGCATTGCTATCAGCTTTGGTATAAAACATAAGATCTTTTTCATATTTATTCTTATCTTCTTGCGACGAGTTTTGTTCAGCCAAAGGTATAGGTTTAGTCAAAGTTCCTTCTAATACCTCATTAGCACCTGGAACACTCCGAAGCAGAATGGATAATTTGAACTTCCATGTTGACCAGTTTGTTTTATCTTCCAGTAGCCCAATCTGTACTTTACTGGCATCCATATTTTTTTTTAATAAACTTATTACGAGAAAGCTTGATAACACTAATTTCTTATTTCTGGCAACCACGCTCTGCTACCATGTTAAAGTATATTCTCTGACCATATAATACTCTTAGTGTTTTAATTTACTTGCTCAAAAAGAGAAAAACTTACGTTGACTTTTAAAGACTTTTTATTAAATTAATTGTTCAACTTGACAAAACATATTCATTATTATTACAGGTAGTAAAACAATAGTTCAATGTAAAACAAAGTGTTCCAACATCAACAATTTTCTCTACGACTACGTAAGAATAGTAACGCTTATATAATTTTAAACAGAGAAAAGAAACCAAGCAGTTTTTGACATTTAAGTTTTTGTACTGTCAAACCATTTTGTGCCGTCACAATTTTATAATGTAAATTATAATAAATTTAAACAAATGGTATGCCTAAATCTTTATTATAATTAAAAATAGTTATTTACACTAACTAATAAAAAAAATAACATTGTAACAAATACAAAACTAATTTTACAAGTAATTGTATGATTAGAGGTGTCCCTCTATAAACTGTATGTTTCTTGGGATGAAAATAAAGTATTTTATTTTATTTATTTATTTAACTATGTCAACATCTATTCTTTTTCTACATTTTAAAGGTCTTTTTTTAAACTTTTTGAATCTGTCAAAACTTCAAAGCCGGTATAGTAGGTAACTGGTTTATCATTTTAATATCAAATTTATTATAATTTTGATTTGTATATTTGAAAAACAATAAATATAACCAATTTTTTGTGCCTAAACCTTAATTATACAACTGCTATTATTTTTTAATTAATAAATAATACAGTAATATTTAAATATTTTTAAATTTTTTACGTTTAGTAAACAGTCAGGAGATGTCGTTACCCTAGACCAAACCAAATAGATGAACATCTGACGGTATAATTTTGATGCAATGAAGCGCCCTTATACGGTTATGGAGGAACTAAAATGCAGCGTTGCCAAAAGCGACCGCGTATATTTAAATTTTAAAAATTTATTTTATTATTTGAGATTGTCAGCGTTACCAAATTCTGTCAAAAAACGTAGATTTTTTTACAGAATTGGGCCACATTGGGTCTATATATAAAAATTTAATTTTAAATATACAAATTAAAATAAAAATAGTTAAGGGTATAATTAAAGTAATTTGAATTAGAAATATTTCTTTATTATGTATTACAAAAATATATATAAAATATACCTCTTAAAAAATATTAGTAATAAAAGTACATACAATAAAAGATTATAACATAAAAAAAATTTTCTTTACTTTACTTGTATTAAAAAAAAGAACAAACCTCTACATTTTTTAAAACTAAATTTAATAAAACTTAAAAAATACCTGGTAATAATTTTGTTGGGTAAGCCTGACGATTAAGCCTTCTATTAGCTATAAAGTCTTTCTCAGCAAAATGCTTTGAACACACTCTGCAGTTTTTGAAGACTTTTTCAGGTGTCGTTTCAAAAAGTCGTTTATTTTGACACAACTTAACACTGATTAAACAAGTCCATATGCCAAGGACGTGACGTCATTAGACACAGCGACATCTGTAGGACATGGAGAAAGTTTATTTTAAAATACCCCCCCCCTATTGAGATATTCGTCTATTTGGTTTGGTCTAGGGTCGTTACTTGTGACCATTCTTAACCAAGAGTAGGAATATTCTCGCACAGTATTGCAGAAAAACATCCTTTCTATGATCAAAAATTACACTAGAATGTTACTATTCTTAAGTAGTCGTAGAGAAAAGTATTTTTGTTATCGAATATTGTTTTAATTTGACAAATAACTAAAAATATTTTGGGTTGTGTTTTTTACTTAGTATTTAATACGTAGATTATGGTATATTTTACTATTATATAGGTACCTAACTGAACTGAATATGCTTAACAGAATGTTCCAGGAATATTCCTAAATGAACTTTCTATAGCAATTACTTTCTCAACATTCTAAGCATATGTTTAGAGTGGATTAATTTTTACCACTACAACTTTGCACCTTCTAAGAACCTGCCTATAGGCCAGTGAGAATATTCTTAGGGTTATGCTATATTTCTTTTAAGCATGTTCTTTAGAAGAAATATAGCATGATCCTAAGAATATTCTCACTGGAAGGTTTAAAAAACATTCTTAGAATAAACTGTGATATCAGGGATATACCTCAGAAAATTACAAAAGTAGTAATTTTACCTTTTAATTTTATTAAAAAAAAACTCGCCAAGCGATTTGGCTAAAAAACTAGTCATTGTAACTTATTTGTTGAAAAGAATTTTCAAGTTTTACAGGTCAAAATACATTAGAAAAAAATGGCGGCCTAGTGATATTAGCGTTTGATTTCGACGGACCACGTTTGATTCGTTTCAGGTTGATGCTGAACAGGATAAAATGGGAAGAAGACATAGTCAAAGACCCCGACGGGATAGAAGTGCCGAACAAGTGCGTGCTGGTGTGGGAAGGGACGACCAAACAGAGAAACTTCGGCGAGATGAAGTTCAAAGTGTGCCCGACCGAAAGGATGGCCAGGGAGCATTTTAAGAAGCACAAGGTGGAACATTACTGGGACCTGGCCTACAGTGGGGCGGTCCTCGAACAGGCCAACGATACCGTGGAGTGAACTGATAAATTTTTTATTAATATAGATATAATAATGATATTTAAAATAATTTTACATTAAATAAGAACAATGAAATACGTTTTTAAGCAAGACCAAATCCTATCAAGAATAGCAAGTAAGAAGTGTTGTAAGCAAGGTAAGTATCTATTCTTTATTTTTGTTTGCATCAAAGTGACCAACTCAATATATATTTTTTTCTCTCTTAATAAACCACATAGTTATTATTTATTTAAAATGTATATATGTCGTTGTTTTAAAGATTTTAGTTTTTTCTTATAAATATATAAAAAGGATAGTTTGTTTGTTTAAACTTTATTTACGTTTACTTAAAAATAAGAATATTTGAATTTTTAATAATAGTTTTATAAAAACAAGCAAAAAAGTATAGTAATTGGACACATTTTTACAAAAGAGTCAATCCAAATGAAAACACCAAAAATGAATTTAAAAGTGCGCTGCATGATTTTTATTTTAATGAAAATTCCACACCTGTAATTTTTAACCAATCGAAACGTGTATTTTTGATAGATCACCATGGCAACGGTTGAATTTTAGTGGAAATTTTTTCCTCGTGGGTACCCAACAGCGAATTATACTGGAAATTTTTTGACGTTTATAATGACAGAATATTTTTTTGACAATCTGGTTTTTATTAAATTTTGTTTACATGATAATTTTGATACATTTCCATTACAAAGTTTAGATGTTTTCTATATTCGTTGGACACCTCCTTTCTTCTTAATGGCGAAAATGCAGGACTTGAAATAAATTAAATGTCTATGTCTAATGAAATATATATAATATTTAGACACTATTCTATTTACCTTTTTTTCCATTTAGCACTTTGAGTTTTGAATAGTTAAGATGCAAATATTCGTGAACAATTCAAAACAAATTTTCTTTCTTCAAGTAGGAGCCACAATCCTCTAATAATGCGGGTAAATAAGTCATTGCACGATGATTGATCATTACAGCAGACAATTTCACATTTTTTTACGTCGTGCCGCTTGACAGCTTCAAAACTGAAATAACTTTTAGGTTGGGGTTGACTTAGTTGCCATGGTAACTAAATAATCAAGTCGAGGTCAAAAAATAAATTTTAATTATTTAAACACAATTTGGTGTGGAATTTTCTTACCGAATACCACACGAGGTCAAATTAAATCCGGAAATTTTTTCTCCCTCATAAATATTTTTAGAAAATTATCCCTCGTCTTCGACTCGGGATAATTTTCAAAATATTCATGAGCTCAAAAAATTTCCGGAAATAATTTGACCTCTAGTGGTATTACTAGTGAAAAAATTTGAGGATGATCTTTAGGTATCATATATGAAAAACCGTTTTAATTTTTATTTGCTTTAATTTTAATCGGCACCCTTTAGAAACCTGAAATCGTGTCATTTTCTTACTCTCTTATAAGTAAATGGAGGTGTGACTGAGTACACGTTAATTCTCTTATAAGAGGTTAAAACTTTTTTCTGTTGCAATTATTGAAATAATTGTAATTTTATTTTACTGCCTAGTAAGTATGTTTTCAATATTAATTATTATTATCTAATTAGTTCATCTCATAAAAGAATGGTAAACCACTAAAGATTTGTAATAATTTGACAATTTTTGTCTGGCTCCTGTGCCTATTCTGCTAAATCTAGAAAGTTGCTTTTTTTAGGTATCAAGTACTTATACAATAGAAAACCTAACTATTATTTTAAGTTTCTAGACTATCATTTTCTTTATTAAAAAAAGTATTGAAACTTGATAATGTTCACAATTAGCCAATTTTGCCCTCAGAAATCATTATGTTGAGGAAAAAAATAAAAATCTGAAACTTTCAGGAAATGTAGTCCCCACCTTCATCTTTTCAGTCTAGTTAGTCTTGTTTTGTTATTTTTATCCATGTAAAAGATATAATATTTTTTTAAATCCAGTTAAGAAGCGATATTGTTAGTTTTATTTATAATTTAAAATTTAGATTGCTTTGACTTAGTCAATTCATGTTTGGTAGAGAAATGTCAGAACTGTCAAAAATATTTCATAAATATTATTTGTGCGTATTTAAATTGTGATTTCAAAAAGTTTGCAAGTTTGCAAGTGTAATAAATGACGGAGTGTTCGAGATTCGTGAATTTAATTGCTATTAAAAATGCAAGAACATATCATAATTTTGTACCTCTTTCTCATAGAAAATATTCAAGTTCTGAGAAGTTTTAAATTGTTAAAAATAAGCAAAAACCAAAAAATATTCTAAATAAACCCCTTTATTATAATATGTTTTATTTTAACCAGTTACCTAAAAACTAAAATTTAAAGAAGTATTTACAGATTGTGTTTATTTTTTTCCAACACTAACATTTAAAATACATACATATAACTTTTAACTATTCAGTGCCTTACTAAAGGAATCAAAATAATAGAACAAGACTAACTTGGTTTAAATTGTGAAAGAAACCGACAAAAAACTACTTAACGCATATTATATACGTTTAAATGAACTCTTTATTAATTTCTCTTATTATACTTTAGGATATAAACCATAAGGATCATGAATATATTTTTTACATTCTTCTTCTTTAAACACCAATTAGCTAATTAAATACTTCATTATAATGTATATAATATTTTTATTTTTTCCTCAACATAATGATTTCTGAGGGCAAAATTGACTAAATTTAAGAATTATCAAGTTACAATAATTTTTTGAATAAAGAAAATGATAGTCTAGAAACTTAAAATAATAGTTACGTTTTCTATTGTATAAATACTTGATACCTGAAAAAAAGCAACTTTCTAGATTTAACAGAATAGGCACAGGAGCCATACAAAAATCACAAAAATTGGCAAATTATCATTATCAAATCTTTAGTGGTTTACCATTCTTTTATGAGATTAACTAATTGGATAAGAATAATTTATATCGAAAACATACTTACTGAAAACTAAAACAAAATTAAAATCATTTCAATATTTGTCACAGAAAAAAATTCTGGCCCACTATAAGAGAGTAAGAAATTGAGACGATTTCAGATTTCTAAAGGGTGCCGATTAAAAGTAAAGAATCCAAAAATTAAAACTACAACGGATTTTCTTATTTGATACCTAAAAGATCATCCTAAATTTTTTTTATCAAAATAAAAAATCAAGCAGCCCATTTGCTGTTTTTATTTGGAATTACTCAAAAACATAACAACTTTATATCAAATAACATAAATTGTTAAATATTTTTTAAAGATAAATTGCTGTTTTAGGTAATTTTTTTATTTCGTTTTTGTAAATATCATATAGTTCATATATTTCTTTCTCGGATTCCTCATCCCTTTTCTGGATTCTGAAGGTAACTACCAATTCCTTGGTCTGACTTCTGAAATAGTTTGTTTCAAATATCATTAAGTGTGGTATCTCTAGTTTGTGAAGCATTTATAATGTTTAGGCCGGAACAGGATGATTTATATATATCTAATATTTTTTCGGGTGGTATGTTAAAATTATTTTCCGAATTTATTAATTTTGTTGGCAGTAGTTTTTTATGTTCTCCATCATGTACTGTATTTATCACTGTTATTCTGCAAGATGTCCTGTGACGAAGAAATCACTATACTTTCTAAAAATGAATTAGTCAAAAATGTCATAGCGAAAAAGCAGCCACTAATAATTCTCGTCAACAGCCATTTGTATCCAGGACATTTAGCAGTCAATTCCTATGAAATTATTCGCTGAATCCGAAAATGTCGTCAAAATTTATATTTAAAAGTAAAACAGTTTTTGAAATATAATAAATAATATGGAATTGACTATATCTCAAAAACTTTTATAGTTTTTGACGGTCTTTTCGGATTCAGGGGACAATCTTACATAAGAATTGGCTGGTAAATGACCAGGATACAAATAGAGTTTGATATTGGACGTACGTCCAATAATAGAAATTTACATTTTTTACCAACCAGTAATTGGACACTGGCCATTTTAATGTTTGTTTTCAGAATTAAAATTAAAACGTATTAAAGTGACAATGTTTAAACCATGAGGAACACATTTATACCACACACTGATCTGTACACTTTTTAGAAATATTTTTTATTGTGATTTAAACACATTTTAACAAAAAAACAAAAATCTTACCTCCAAAGTAACGTGCGAACTTTTTTGTCCTATATTGGACCCAAAATAAAGTAGTTCTATATTATTACCGACTGAGATATTTATAATTGTATACAGCGTCATCTAATTATTTGACTTTAAGGTAACTATTTATAGAAGTTGTTTTTACAGTATTAATGTTAATTGTCCAATAACTATGACTTTTGCACCTATTAATTTAGGTAAGTGGAATCGGTTTGACTGAAGATATTCTTATTTAAAGTTGTATGTGTTAGTTTTGTGAATAATAAAATTCTCAACTAAAAAAGCACGCAATTTAAATTTCTCCTTGATCCCAATATTTCATGTTTGTTGTCAACCGATTTTTGTTAGGCCGGGAATTTTTTAGATTTAGAAATTCAAATACTCTTTTATTATATAAATACTAAAATATTAAAAATTTTAAAAATTTCGATATTTGAATATTAATAGTATATTATGTATCAAGTTTGATAAACGCCATTTTAGTTACGAATTTAATTTAGGCTTAATTAAATGAGTGCGTAGAAAAGTTAAAAAATAAAGTAACCATCCCAATAAACAGTCCCCAGTAGCACAAAATATTGGTCCTATATGGGGCGCGTCTATGCCCAATATTTTATCTGGGGCCAATATTGGATTTATTTAGCCGATGTTGGCATAAAATGATAATTTAATATCTCTTGCCAATGTTTAGCCAAGGTTGGTCCTATATTGGCATATTATTTTACGCCAATATATCATTAACTATAGTTAACGATGCTTTCGGATTTCTAAAAGTGATATGTAACGACACACGTTTGTTTCACGTTCGTGTCTATACTAGTGGCGCAGGAACGGTTTTGATGGGGGGTGGCGCAACCGACTACCATTCTTTTTGTTTAGCACCAAATAGATGAAAATAATAAAGGCCATTCTTGCATATTACCGAAAGAATAGCAAGGTAATAGATTTCTTGTTTTACTAGCAATACGATTCGTTATTACGTTAATAAAGCTCAAGCTGATCATTTTAGTACACGATACAAACGATTTTAGCATTTCATCCTAATTAAGAATAACATAGACGGTACACGACTTTTTTCAAAGAATTGGAGGGTAAATTTTATATCAAGTGACCCCCCCTTCCCCTTATCATTTGGGTGGGTATTGTCAAAAAACTTCGGGCCTATGTTGGGTTTCAATATTGGACCATGCTAGAAAAAATCTGACGAAAGATATATTGGCCCAATATTATTACGAATATTGGGCCAATATATTTGTGCTACTGGGGGTTTTAACGTAATTTTCACCATTAAAATTGCCCGTTATTATTTTAATTAAACTTAACAATTATTGATTTATGAAATATTAACATAACTTCAAAAAATGATTATGTTAAAGCCAGTATTACAATCTGAAAATATTTGATTTTTCATTTTAATTTAAACACTTTGTTTATTTAAAACAAAATAATTTTATTATGTAACATAAATATACAGTATAGTAACTACTTAAATTAATATATAAAAAACAATGAGCTAAACTTTAATAATAATAATAATAATAATAATAATGACTAATGGAAGCATTATAGTATTTTTAACATTAACAGGTGGTAATTTTTATTGCTAGCAGAAAGTATCTCAATAATATTTTTTTGTTTTTAAATTATTTACCTACATAAATAAGTTCCTGTTTTGTTCATACTTGTAATGCTGTTCTACAAGATCTATTTTGTATGTGTATCTTATACTGGGGTGACAATAAAAAATTATAGTGAAAATTTGAGTCCATAATATTAATATTAAGAGGTCTATCATCGCAATTTTAGATTTTTTTTCCCGAGCGAGTTTTTGCCTCAGAACTCCCAAACCATTGAGTTTAACAAAATTGACTTAAGAATATTTTTTGAAGAAAATTGAATGCTCTACAAAAAAGGTTTAATTGGAATTTCCCGTCAGATGAACCGTTTTCCAACAATCATGCCTTAAAAATTGGTATAGTTTTACAATTTGATCTTTTAACTTTGGAATTTTGTAATTCATGTAAAAATCAGTACCCGGAAAAAAACCGATAGATATTCTTATGGTTAATCAAATGCTCTACAAAAAAATTCTAACATTTTTGGCTAAATTCACTCCATCAAAAGTTATTCAAGGTTAAGTCAGTTAAAAACTTGGATTCTTTTATCGATAATAATTTTTAAGTTATTGATAAAATTAAAAAAATAACACTTTAGAATGTTTTCGCTTTAAGAAGCTATTTTCTTTGGAAAATATTATTTTCACTGTTATTTAATCGTTTAAATAATAACAATCATATTGTTTTTTATTGGAAATTAGTTATGTAATACACATTTATAAAGAAAAAAATCAAATTATCCATAAAAAAAATCTACAGAGGAAAAATCAAGAATTTCGTTTTGACTTCAACTTTAACCTTGAATAACTTTTGATTGAGTGAATTTAGCCAAAAATGTTAAGAGGCTTTTTTGTAAAGCATTTGATTTTCCATAAGAAAATTTATCGGTTTTTTATGGGTACTGATTTTTACATGAATTACAAAATTCCAAAGTTAAAAGATCAAAATGTAAAACTATACCAATCTTTAAGGCATGATTTTAAGGAAACGGTTGATCTGACGAAAAAATTTATTTTAACCTTTTTTGTATAGCATTTAATCTTCTTAAAAAAATATTTCCAAGTCAATTTAGTTAAACTCATAGGTTTGGGAGTTCTGAGACAAAAACTTGCTTAATATTAATATTATGGACTCAAACTTTCACAATAATTTTTTTTGTCACCCCAAACCATATTTTTGATATACTTTTCAAAAAAAAATAGTTGATTTTTTTGGCCCAGTAGATACATTGTATCTACAAGTTATTTTAAAATTTATTTTCTGTGATGCATTTATAAATAATTGAATAAAAACCAAATTGAATTGGATGATATTTTTAATAATTGGGACATTTTATGTGAAGCCATTTTCAAAGTGCTAAGTGCTATATTTTGAAATTAAAATGATTTTAACGTTATTAAAAGCTTGATTTTAAATGTTTACTTTCGGGTTTCTACAAGAAAAAAAATGAAATTTCGAATCTGAATATAATTAAAGAGAAGATATTTTTTATATTGTATTGTAAATTGTCAATATTTAAAAGCCGATAACAAACAACCCTTATTAAAAAATAATTGTGGGTGAACGAATTTCAGAATCGCAAATTTTTTTCGTTTTCCGCTTCACATGAAGTGTCCCACTTTTAATTGGGTTATGGTACAGAAAAATATGTGTGAAAATACGTCAAAAAAATGCTATTTTAATTTATTTTATAGCTAGTAACAGTTCCAATTGTCCTAGATGTTTATTTTACTATGGCAATTTCAGAGTATAATACTATATTTATCATATTAATAATTTCAAATTGTTCTGACCTAACAATAAGTAGAAATGCAATTTAATGATATTACTTATCAATTTATTAATGTGTATGCACAATTTATTTTTGCTTATTTTCGTTACTAAACATCTAAATACTTTATACATTGAGGCTTATTCTAAATCACATAGATTTTGGTCTGAATTAAATTAATATCACAAATTTGACAGCACTAGATTTTTTACAGATAAAATATATTAATTGCTTAAAAAATATTTTAATAATTAAAACTCTATTAAAATTATACTAGAAGCTAGCATTTTTTGTTTCTTCATCCATATTTATTGCTTTTTTTATTAATTTCACCAATTCCAAATATAAAAAGCAATCCCTGCCAGCAGGTTTGCATATTTCTCTGTGATCCAAGGGCACATCACATTTTATACCAATATTGGGATCTAAAAATTAAAATATGTTAAAATACTTAAATAATAGTACCTATATTATGTATCAAGTTTGATAAACGCCATTTTAGTCAAGAATTTTAAGTAGCCGCGAGCGAACTTGCGAGCGGGTGTTTAATTAAACGAGTGTCTAGAAGGTCTAGGAGTTGCATACTATACTTTTTCTACGACAAATACTTATTATTATCTAAAAATAATTTAAATTAAATATTTGTACAGAGCGACATCTATAAAACAAAAGAGTAACTCGTAATTTCTAACTTGGGAATCTGTTTTACCGGTGCGCCAGTCAAAATGTTAAATTTGTATATGTAAATCGAAATTTATTCCTTTAAAATGGACTAACAACCGTTTAAATAGAATAAAAGCAGTTTTTTACAGTGAAAGTGAAGAGAATGTTTTATGGGCACTTCACGGTGGAGTCTCCACCCGAAATTTGTAATGCTTTCAGTTAAATCTAGTTTACTGCCTACGAAATCAAAATGTCAATACAAACTTGCATATAAACTTTTCAAATAGGTTATGGCGTTTAAAAACTATTTAAAACTTTTTATTTTTGTATTAAGGTAATAAAATAATTTTCACAAGAATGGCAACTAACTTAAAGCTAACTTAAGCCCGTGGCTAAAGCGCCATAAAGCTTGTCAATGTGTATTTCAAAGATCACTTAAATTTATGGGTGATTCCAGCTAAATGGCAAAAATAATAATATAAAAATTGCAAACTCTAAAAAAATCTTTTTAATATAATAATGTTAATAGAAATATTTTTTGTTGTTTAAATAAAACATAATAGTATATTATGTATCATGTTGGATAAACGCCATTTTATACACGAATTTAATTTAGGCACGAGCGAGCTTGCGAGCGAGTGCTTAAATTAATGAGTGCATAGAAAAGTTTATAAACGAGGTGCATACCACAGACCTGTGGTGCATACTATACTATAATTTGTATAGAGCGCCATCTATGAAACAATAGGGGAATCTGTGTGTCACCTTCAAATGTCACATTTTTATATTTTATAAACACAGAATATAAAGGTTATAAATCGAAATATATTTCTTGAAAATTGACAGTCTTTCACAGTGAAAGCAAAGAAAATGTTTTATGAGGACTTTACAGTGGAGTCCGTCCCCGAATTTAAGTTATAGTTTACTGCTGGCGAAATTAAAAGGTCAGTACAATGTTCATATAAACTTTTCAAATATTGGCGTTGAGAAACTATTTAATACTTTTGTATTGAGATTATAAAATAATTTTTACATAATATTTTACAAGAAAGGCACTTTATTTTAACGATTGTATGACATTTGACAACTGTCAACTAACTTAAAACTAACTCCAGCCCGTGACTAAAAACCTGTTGCTAACTTCAGCCCGTGACTAAAGCGCCATAAAGCCACAATTTGTCAATGTGTATCTAAAAGGTCACTTAGTGTCATGGACATGTACGATAAAGGGCGTTTTAAAGGTGAGAGTAGAAAAAAACATATTTATATAAATTTACAATATTAATTTTAATACAATTAGTAACAGAAATATTGTTTCACCTACAAAACTTAAATGAACAACTACTATTTTTACAGTATAGTAGTAATAAATTAAATGGTAACTAGTAATAAAAATAATATCAAGGTTGCTCATAAAATATATTATTATGATGCTGCTAAAGTTTAAAGAATTTCATTCAACATTTGTTGTATTGTAGACGTATTTAAGTCAATTTTTCACTTAATCCAATTTAATCGGTGTTTTGGCAGCAAATACATTTTGCTGGCGTAGGTTTAATGTACCTCGTGGATATTATTATGTTCTATTTATTTATAATGAGAAAAAGATTACTTAATAATTTACATTCAAATTAAAAAAAAAGTATGTAGGAAACATCATGATTCCTAATTTTTATGAATTGCAAAAAATTACTTCTTGTCCTAATAATAGATAACAAAGCCTAATGACATAAATACGTAACTGACAAGCGTATTATTTACAATAAGGGTTATCTGAGTAGCTTCCCTGATAGCAAAATTTGATTTTAAGAATCTTTTAAGAAGATATGACCCGGGAATATTCTTAGAACCTTCCCTTATTGCTAAGAATATTCTTAGGGACTTTTAAAACATTCAATAGATACCCTTTTAATGATGCAATTAGATTCTTAAAACCTTCCTAAAAATCATTTTAAGAACATTTTAAGAATACGTTTTTGGAATGTTCTTAGAAGGTTTCTTATGGAGCTTCTAGGAAGCTTTTGAGAATATTTCCAAATATGTCAGATACCCACGTTCTAATATGTTGTATTCTACATTAGTAAAATTCTTCATCATAAGTTGTATGACATTATTTCAAAAAAAGTTAAATTGGAAAATTTTGTGGGATAAGTCAGATTAGATTGAAGCTGAAGATAGTTAGGATTATTATACATAAAAATGTTAATTCAGAAATAAAAAAATCGGTATACAAATTAATAAATATTTATTTTTAACATAAAATAAAATAACCATAGTAAAAGTATTTTTGTTATTGAATTGTATTGTTTTAATTTGACAAATAACTATAAAAAATATTTTGGATTGTGTAGTAGTTAGTATTTAATAGGTACTAATTACTAATTAGGTACTTAAGTATATACCTTTATATGTAGTTTATGGTATATTTTACTATTATAAAGGTAACTGAACTAAATATGCTTAACAGGAATATTCCTAAATGAACTTTCTATAGCAATTACTTTCTTAACATTCTAAGCATATGTTTAGAGTAGACTAATTTTTGCTACTAAAACTTTGCACCTTCTAAGAACCTGCCTATAGGCCATTAAGAATATTCTTAGGATCATGCTATATGTCTTTTAAGCATGTTCTTTAGAAGAAATATAGCATGGTCCTAGGAATATTCTCACTGGAAGGTTTAAAAAACATTCTTAGAATAAAGTTTGCTATCAGGGAACTTGTTTATAACAGGAAAAGGTTTTTTCTGTAAAATATTTGAAAATAAAAAATTACCTGCTGAGTCATACGCCACTATTTTTAAATACAAGAAGGACATCAGAGTGAAGGATGTTTCAATGAAACTAAACACTTCAGGCTTGTTTGCAGTTTTTTCGTAGATCTCCAAAAACTTTTCGTGCAAATTAAGAACGAAGTTGCAATCTAAAAAAAAATTAAAATACAACATTTGCAAGCTTTGAATTAATTTTGCCAGCGTGTTTGGAGTGGGCTTTAACACCACGTGGCTACCCGGAACTGATGCCGTCCAAAAGGCTAGTTCTCAAAATAAGTTTTTTGGAAACTGGGTCAGAATTTCTCAAACGGGCCACCTGAATTAGGTCAAAATTAGTTTTTGTTTGTAGATACATTTTTTTGATAGTATTTTACATCACTAACACAAATCCTAAAGGATTTTGTAAAAAAAAAATTTTCAATTGACATATTCATGATATTAAAAGTCAAAGTTTTTAATAATTAAAAAATAAAAAAATTCATTATGGCTGAACTAATTATCCGATTCCAACGATATAACTAGCGTTGGAATCTTGTTTTGACATAGATTCTTTGTTATTTTTTTCAATTGTCCTATTTTCATTTAGGTCGATTTTTTTTTGTTTTTTTTATACCAATTTCGGAAATAATTGCCTTCTGCGCCAGCTATCGACTCGAGAAAAAAAACACATATACTCCAATCATTTCTCGAAATTATGCTGCTGAGAAAAAAAATGGCCCGCAGGTTGACAAAAAGTTATTCGTCCTTTTGTGGCCGCGCGCGGTGTCAGCTCACGCTCCGAACCGTGTACGCTGTACGCGCTTGTGACGCGACGTCTTACGGTGGTCTGGAACCTGCGGGCCATTTTTTTTCTAAGCAGCATAATTTCGAAAAATGATTGGAGTATATGTGTTTTTTTTTTCGAGTCGATAGCTGGCGCAGAAGCCAATTATTTCCGAATTTGTTATAAAAAAAACAAAAAAAAATCGACCTAAATGAAAATTGTACAATTGAAAAAAATAACAAAGAATCTATGTCAAAACAAGATTCCAACGCTAGTTAAATCGTTGGAATCGGATAATTAGTTTAGCCATAATGATTTTTTTTTTATTTTTTAATTACTAAAAACTTTTACCTTTAATATCATGAATATGTCAATTAAAAATTTTTTTTTACAAAATCCTTTAGGATTTGTGTTAGTGATGTAAAATACTATCGAAAAAATGTATCTACAATCAAAAACTAATTTTGACCTAATTCAGGTGGCCCGTTTGAGAAATTCTGACCCAACTTACTTCTTTGAATTTCCAACAGTTCAACACTCCTACTTAATAACGGCAATGTAAAATCAGCCAGAGAAGATCCTTTGTGTGGCACGCTATAAAACATAATCGCCTTAGAATGAGCAAAAAGGTCAAACATATCCTGGCTATTGTCACGACCCTCCCAAGCTACAAATCAAATTACATTAAATTACTCTCTACGACACCATCATTAATATGGCACGCCGTTTTAGCATTTATTAGATAAAAGTTTAAAGATTAAAGTTTAGCACTTAAATTATGTTTTAACAGAAATTTATAAAGTTAAATTTTTTTTAAACTCAAAACAATTGATAGTCAACATAATATTTTAAATATAAATGCAACAGTAACAATTTATGTTTAAAAATATTGATTTTTAAAAGTTTTGGTTGTAATATTTTATTCTACAAAATTATTGGTTTAAATTTTTAAAGACTCATTTAAATGATAGTTAATAAATTTTTAATACAAAAATTCTCACATTACATTAAATGTAAGTTTTAAATTTTAAAGTAGCAATTTTTTGATTAAAAATTTATCGACTATCATTTAAATGACTCTTTACAAATTTAAACCAAAATTTTTAACAATTTTAAAGTGATATATTTTTAAGACAAAATTTATAACTTTACATTTAAATGTAAGTCGATAATTTTAAAATTACAAAGTGTAAACGTAGCTTTAGTAGAAGGCACAAGAGTCTGGGATCGGAGCCACGATGCAGCCAGTTTGATCCGTTGATGTTTTTTAATTGTCGAATTAACTTAGTACAATGGGCACTAAAAATGTTGTTGTTTTATTATTAAATTTATGTAATAAAGAAACATTTCATTACGATAATTTCTGTGGGTAAAAGGCATAAGGGGATAAGTCAAAAAAAGCAATTTTTCAATAGAGCCTTTAACGTGTTCGCATTAATTCAGGAAATATATTTATGTTTAGTGGGTATAACCTTTTGTTAGCATATGCCATGTGCTAAAAAAAGGGTATATCCGCTAACCATAAATATGTTTCCTGAATTAATGCCAATACGTTTAAGGCTTTACTGAAAAATGCTTTTTTTGACTTATCTCCTTATGCCTTTTACCCACAGATTTGTAAAACGCGTCAAATATTTATGGAGCAAGCACGCTTTGACAACACTGTGCCTTCTACTAAAGCTACGTTTACACTTTGTAATTTAAAAATTATCGACTTACATTTAAATGTAAAGTTATAAATTTTGTCTTAAAAATGTATCAATTTAAAATTGTTAAAAATAAAAGTTATTGGTTTAAATTTGTAAAGAGTCATTTAAATGATAGTCGATAAATTTTTAATGCAAAAATTACCAATTTAAAATTTAAAACTAACATTTAAATGTTATGTTCAAATTTTTGTATTGCAAATTTATCAACTATCATTTAAATGACTCTTTACATATTCAAACAAATAATTTTGAAGATTAAAATATTAAAATTTCATTTTTTAAAAATTAATATTTTTAAACTTAAACTTTTACAGTTTCATTTTATATTTAAAATACTTTTTGATTTTCAATAGTTTACAAAAATTTAACTTTTTAAACTGTTTTGGTAGAAAATGTTTTATATGTGTTTTTATTTTAAATGGATTGATACTATTTTTAAATACTAAATAATTTAACTTTACCAAATTAATCTCAATAATTTTATAAAATATTTATTTAAGTTAACAAAATGCCACCCAAATAAATTATACTTAAGAAATTATTATTATTAAAAAATAATATAAATAAATAGTTAATATTGTTTAATATAGAAGTGAACTGTTGGTTAGTAAATTTTGTCTTTCAATACATGATAGTTGAAAATATTATAAATTTATAAATGTAAACCTAAAATTTTTAGTTAGGAAAATTTTAAACCAATAAAATTTTAAATTAAAAAAATATTTAATAAATGTTAAAACGGCGTGCCATACATTAAAGTCTTTATTATCTTTGACAATTCTTTCATATAGTTTGTTTATGTTTATATACAAGGTGTTCAAAAACTCTCCTGATGAGTTTGTTCAAAACCGCTCAACATATGGGTGATTCTACAAAAGTTGGACAACTTGATGTCATCAGTCAATAGAGTAGGTATTTTAATATTTTTTGTAAATATGTTAGTATATTACAAAAGATCCAGGTTTTTTTAACTTCCCACCCAATTTTGATGTATTTTTTCAAAAGCACGTTTGTAGAAAAACATAATAAATATTCAAAACATCAGTAACTTGGCGTGTCACAACTCCTGAATCAAATATTTGAGTGGTTTAATTTTAAAATATATTCAATTTATCTTAAATTTTTCAATTTCACTACAAACTATAAAACATTAAATAATGTATTTTTCATATTTTATCATATATTCGAATAATAGCATTAAAAAAAATGATAATCTTTGTACTCACTTTTACCCGTCAGTTCTGTGTCCAATGTTAAAATTCAAAATTCCTGCGAAATATTGAAGTTTAAACGTCAAGTCCTCGTTTTAACTCAAGTGTTGGTAAAAAATTACCTACAGAGCCCGCCCTTTGCACGACAGTCATCTTGAAAACAATGCAAGCGGCGAAGTTGTGGTGAATGCACGTATAGTTCCAGTCAAAATTTCAGTATTGTAGTGAGTAGTTTCTTACGTATATATATTTCGTTGTAATTTATGTAAGGCTTTATGTGATTTGTTGATAAGTAGCATCCACTAATAAAAAATTCCAAATTGTAATCTCAAATTTGTATCCCATTCATCAGTACCGTGTCGTCAGTTCCATGTTCGATGTTTCGGTTATCTTTTTTCGCAAACTTCAATTTAAATTCTGCTTGCGCAGAACTTGTTTATTTAATGTCGTTACAAACTCATATAAATTTGGTGTGGGTCCCATATCTAATAATTTTGATATCGGTATACCCAAAATCCACCAGCCGCCACTGATGTGTGGTATTATTTGATTTTAAGATGTTTAACTTTTTTGTTTCTTGAACGATTTTATTTTGGTTTGTGATGTCTGCTAGCCCCCATTCACTGGCAATTCATGCTATAGATATGAAGCTCACGGTTCTTTAAGTAAATTTACTACAGGGTGATATGTAAAACAGTGAAAAATTTCAATAACTTCATCCAAGCCCCGTTTGTAAAATAAATATTTTTTTCTCGTTTTTACTTTGAAATAATGAAGTATTATGTCTTACCTTGAAACCTTTTTCAAATTTTTCGAATTGGAATCTTAGCAACAAAAATATGATTTTTTTCATTGGCAAAGGCATGTTATTGAGACATTTAACAGCCGGGAATTGTTTTAGAATTTTGATTCTTGGTGATTTTGGTTTCATCTAAAACTTAAATTTGACAACTGAATCACATCAGGAGGTCAAAATTATAAAGCAAACATGTCACGAACGTATATATCGGTTCAGGTTTAGTTTTCGCAAATTTTCTAAAAAATGTCATTTTGAAAAAGTGGTCTTTGCTTAGGATCCTCTGAAATTAATGGAAGTTTGTTGCTTGTCGCTTGTTCAGAATTATTCAAGGAACAATCTTTCACCATCTTATCTTTTTTATCTTAAAAAGGCTCAGTGTATTGCCTACAAAAAAGCATCAAATGTACTCTTTTGAAAAAAAAATCATATTTTTGTTGCTAAGATTCCAATTCGAAAAATTTGACAAACGTTTCAAGGTAAGACATAATACTTCATTATTTCAAAGTAAAAACGAGAAAAAAATATTTTTTTTACAAACGGGGCTTGGATGAAGTTTTTGAAATTTTTCACCGTTTTACATATCACCCTGTAGGAAATTTACTTGAATAACCGTGAGCTTCATATCTATAGCATGTATTTCCAGAGAATGGGGCTAGCAGACATTACAAACCAAAATAAAATCGTTCAAGAAACAAAAAAGTTATATCGTTTTGAAAAAGGACGAAATTTTTGGTCGCGACACATTGACTGGTGCGCAGTTTATATAAACAAAATGAGGTCAAAAGTTGACTAACTTTTGTAGCATCACCCATATCCAGATATTTTGGACACCTTTTTTAAGTTCAAAAGTTAATAAGATTTACCTACCGTTTACCATAATCTGTTTAATAAACAATCCTCCTTTTGAATGGCCCACCCACACAATTGGATTTTTTCCAACGCCAATACGTATTAACTCTTCAATCATTTCACGACTTCGTTCCACCATGTCAGTTCTAAAAATATTTTTAAAATTTTAATGTGGGATTGTTTTTAACTGTCTAAAAATTGTCTAAATATTATAGTCGTGCATAGGTATAGAGGCGAAAAAATATAAGTCATCCTATACACTTCTATATTTTTCCGTTTGCTGTGCAGTTTCTAAATAAACAAATATGCGGTATTTTCTAATACACGGTGGTCAAAACTAAAGTATAGGACGAACAAAAATGCCAACCAAAACTGATAGCATAATCTGATATAGACTCTTTTGGTAACACAAAAATATATTCATCAAAATCCCAGCTGATCCTTTATTAAAGTTTTGCATATTTCTTAGTATTTTAAAATTGTTTATGCCTTTTCGATAAAATACTCTAGTATCATTATAAAATGTTTTTAAAAATTTGGCAGATACATGACTGATATATGGATAAATTATATTATAAATACAAAATAATGTAAAATACAGTTTGCAATATCTTATATATTGTTTTAAGGTACCTAATACAAAACTAATAAATGACTAAAGATTCTTTGAAGCAAAATTGATTACTGCTTGCCTTAAATTTTCAGTAAAACTTTTTCTTGGGTTTTACATGGAATTGTTTTTAACATGGAAACAGTATTTTTAAATTCTTTAGTCTCTGTACAAACATGCTTCTTACATCCCCTAGAAAGGAAGAGCATATCAAAACTTAAGTTCGTTCGTCCGTCCTCTTCCCTTAATAATTTTTATGCCCTTTATATGTTGCCATTTTGCAGATAAAGCACATACATTCTTGGCTGCCGCGAAATTATTTAGCAATTTCTAAATTTTGAAAATTTGGCAATTGTGGCTATGCAAAAATACCGTTTTTACCATATTGAAGTAGGTATTTTTGAATCACTTAAGTTAAAGTGTTCGTTTGAAAAAGTCTGCAGTAATTTTTATATTTTCTCAGAAACCCTAAACCAGAGATAAAGAAGGTCCTAAACTCTGCACAGCCAGCACATACCTTCTTTCGATTTTCTTCATGGCTTAACTTGAATTTCGGTTTAATTTTCATTTTAAAATACTATTTTTAACTTTATAAAGTATACATTAAATAAACAACTAAAGCAAAATGTCACTTGCGTTATAACGTATAGCAATTTTGTTCATAACCACCTTAATTATTGTTTTTACAAAAGTTGTAATTATTTCACAGAGAAACTTGCAGTATTTTTTGTTATAAAAAATATTTAAGATATAAATTTTCGTTTTTTTGTTTTGTTTTGTTTTGAGTGGTAAAAAATAATAGGTGACTCAATAAATTAATACTGGGGAGTAAAGTAATTTAAATGATACAAATTTATTATTTTGCTTAATTTTATTAAAATTGTACAGGTAGTTTTAGTACAATAATTGCAAAATTATATATAGAAATAGAAAAACAAAAAAGTTTGCAAAACTTTAAAATAGGATCAGCTGGGATTTTGATAAATACATGTTAGTGTTACCTAAAGGGTGAAATAAAACTGTTCACAGCTCGGTTTTTGAATAAATATGGTTTAAGGACTTATTGCTCACCGATTTCTTTTTCGTATCCACAATGGCCGCCACAGAACGTCTGTGGAGTAATTGAGAGCTATCACCCTCACATTTGGACAGTCTTTCGGAAGCCAATCTTTCGGCCAGCACTTGCTGTAAAATTCGTTTTCGCTCATCTCCTCCTCCAAGGCGTTTAGTTCCTCGCTTCTTTCCATGCAAATCTCGTAATCCTTGCGAGCTATTTTGTTGGGAATTTTCGAGTAATACTGAGACAAGGTCCTTTTCAATGAACTTGGTTTCGGAGGTACATAGAAGTCCTACAAAGGAAATATAAATCCATTTGTGATTTGTTCCCATTGTTTAAATTCTTTCCTATCCTTTTCAAAAGTGTCAAAGAGTCAATCCATATGAAAACGCCGAATAATTTAAGCTGTATTTTTTTTTCTATTAAAGATATTTTAAATTTTAATATGTCATTTTAAAGCTAAGAAATAGTAGTTTTTATAAAAAAATATAAATTCACTCAATCAATATTTCTAAATAATTACATGGTGCTGAAAAAACGCGTATTTTACTAATTTTTCGTGTTTTTTAAATGCGTCCCATGTCTCGGCTGTTTAATATGAACAGCTAATTTTTTTCATATATTAAGTTTACATACCAAAGACAAAATAAAACTTATAATGGACCCGTTTGGCATACGGTTTCCAAAAAAAAATTGCTTGAAATTTTGAAATTCTAGAAAATCGCATTATTTAGGAAACCGTATGCAAACCGGGTCAATTGTAAGTTTTATTTTGTCTTTGGTATGAGTATGAGTATAAGAGACGTATAACCAGCCCCATTGCCTCATCACTCCCGGACCCCGTTTACTTACGCCGATTTTTGTTCGCCCCCAGCAACTGCACGGCTTCACCCGTGTTTGCTGGGTGCGAATGTCCATTGCGTTCCGTACTGTCCCCTATTTGGGGCTCGAGAGCGACATGCGAATAGTTTTAATAGCCATTCTCGGGTTCGCCGAGCCGATGCTATACGCCCAGTAGGGTATAGAGGAGGAGGGACGGGAGGGATAGACGTTTGTTGGTTTTTGGGGGACAATTACGCCGACTTAAAACTAAGTACGACGCGGAATCCCCCTAGACCAGTCGATTAGTATTACTCCAAACATTTAGGATTACTATTTGGAGTTTTTTTTTGGCTTTGGACTGTAGTCCATTTAGCCAGTCACTCTTTTTGTAATTTTGGCAAAAACAACCACCTAAGATAAGCTACTTTCTAACACAAAATAGGAAAAGTACAGACGATTAACAAGGGACACACTCTTCTCGTTCTAGGGCCTATTAGAACATTTTTTATTTCAATTACATACACAAGCATGGCCACGGATAAAAAGGTTTTAGAAAACAATAGGAAGGAAAACAAAGTTTACAAAATTAACCTAATCTATAATTTAAGACCAACCTCTCCTAAAAAAGAAACCAGCAAGGCAAGAATTTCAACATTACCAAGAGATAATAGGTGTGGAATGCTAACCGGGAGGTTTACTCCATTTTTTTTTATTAAATTTTCGACTTTTTGATCATACTTGGAACATTTAAAAAATATGTGATTTAAATCGCCTATGACTCTGCAGTTTTCACAATCTGGACTTGTTAAAATACCAATTTTATGAAGGTGTTTTGGATAACAGGCATGACCAAATCTCATTCTAATTATCGTCGTTATAAAACGGCGAGGTTTGTGAACTTTTTCAAACCATTTTACAGAGTTCATATTGATATCTAATTGGCCATATGTATTATTGGTGACAGATTTGTAATCATCAGAGTATTGTTTAACATCTCTTTTCATTCTGTTTTTAAAAAGACTTGTAGTATCCCCGGCACTAATCCGCAGACAACTTTCAATCCCATTAGAGATAGAATCCTTCGCCAAAGAATCAGCGTGTTCATTTTCGGGAATGCCAACATGTGCTTTAATCCACACCAATTTTATTAAGGTATGATTTTTTGTAAGATTAATTAAAAGATGCTTAATTTGAAATATGAGTGGGTTTAAAGTGTTTATATCTAAAATGTTTTTTCGAAGACTCTATTTGGAGTTGGGGAGTTGTTATTTTGCTGCAGGGGTGTAGTTTCCTAGTCGAGGTCTTCGTCTTGTTCGTTATTGTCATTGTCCGTGTCCTCAGTCTTGATGCCGAAAACCATCAATAGATAGTTCAGTAGCTGGATATGTAACTTGTAGCTTTTGGTGTTTTTTTTTAAATTGTTTATTGCCGCAGTAGTGCGAAATTTCTAACAATTTTTTTTATTAGTTATTGTTTTGCCCAAGCACGTTTTGTGGTAGGTTACAGATTATTTGTTAGGTCATGCATATGCTTAAGGTTACTTATCAATTTTTTGCGGATGGCCACCTCCCCTCTTGTTTGACCTCCTTTGTTTGTCCAGTGAAAAGCGTCCAATGACAGGTGGCACTTAACTCATTCATCAGTTAACACTTCACTCCTCATTGACCGTTGCACCATTTTAGTTTGCACTCTATGAAAATTGTTTGTTTCACTATAATTGGTTTGAACATTTTAAAAATTAATGTTGATTTTAATCTTTAAACTTTTACGATTTAAGAGCTCTCGCTCTCGCGTGGTGCCTTCTCCAGTGCTGGAACCTGACTGAGTTTTATTTTGTCTTTGGTAAGTAAAATACACGTTTTTTCAGCACCGTGTAATTATTTAGAAATATTGATTGAGTAAATCTATATTTTTTTTATAAAGACTAATATTTCTTAGCTTTAAAATGACATCTTAAAATTTAAAATATCTTTAATAGAAAAAAAGTTACAGCTTAAATGAATATTTCTATAAAATTTGAGCAAAATCCAAGATGGTCGAACAACGAGTTTTGGCGTTTTCATATGGATTGACTCTATAATAGGGTGGGTCAAAAAAACCGACTATTTTTTTTTACTTTGTACTCTGAAAAATCGGTTACTAGACAACTCTAGAGAATTCTCACCAAACATGAGCTCTTAATTTTGATAACAAGGTCCTCCTCTTTACAATTTTCCATTTTTTCCTCAGTATTAGAAACAATAATTCATATCTCTAGGAAATCGAACGCTCTACAAAAAAGGTCTCTTACAATTTTTTCGTAAACTTCACCGTTAAAAAGATACCAAAGGTTAAAGATTAATTATTTTAAGAGAAATTTCTGTTTTGCTTATGAATTTTATAACTCGCTTGCAAATTTTTTTTATGAATCGCGCAACTCATAGTTTTGTAGGAAATCAACTGCTCTACAAAAATGGTCTCCTATGATTTGTCGATTGAATTAAGCGTTTAAAAGATATTCATCGTCAAACTTCAATGCATACTAATTTTAACAGTTTTTGATGAATAATTCGAAAAATTTCAATTTAATTTTTGAGTTTTACGGAAATTTATACAAATTCGAGTTTCTATCGTAAAAGTAACTCTTATAGAAGTTTTCCTTTTGAAAATTTATTTGAAACTTTTTTATTTTAATAATATTTTCATGAAATTTATCTTTATAATAACTTAAAATCATAAGCAATTGAAAGTTGTTAATGATTCGGCAGAGCTGTTGCATTAGTCGATGATTATAACCAATGCTTAACAAAAAATGAAGAGCAATTTCAATATTTATTGCAAGTTATAAAAGAACATCGCAAACAATACCCAAATTGTAATAAAGAAAACTTTTTGCAGTCAAAGTGTACGATTATATTATAAATGTTAAAATTTTTATTTCAGTTGATAAAATTAAATAAAGAAACTTTTTAATAACAAATAGAACTTTTTTTTTCTTCAAGATCAATTCTTTTCATATTAAATTTATGACAAAAACGTTATTTTTTTCAAAATTTATTAAATCATTGACTGAGTTAGAAATAATGCACTATTTTTCTTTTCAATATAACCAAACATATGTAGGACCAAAAAAAACGAGAAAAATAGTTTCTCTTTTCATAGAAACTCAAATTTGTATAAATTTTCGTAAAACTCAAAAAATAAATTGAAATTTTTCGAATTATTCATCAAAAACTCTTAAAATTAGTATGCATTGAAGTTTGACGATGAATATCTTTTAAACGCTTAATTTAATCGAGAAATCATAAGAGACCATTTTTGTAGAGCAGTTAATTTCCTACAAAACTATGAGTTTCGCGATTCATAAAAATTTTTTGTAAGCGAGTTATAAAATTCATAAGCAAAACAGAAATTTCTCTTAATATAATTAAACTTTAACCTTCGATATCTTTTTAACGGTGAGTTTTACGAAAAAATTGTAAGAGACCTTTTTTGTAGAGCGTTCGATTTCCTACAAGAATATGAGGAGAGTTATTTTTTAACGAACAGTTGTCGAAGAGATGAATTATTGTTTCTAATACTGAGGAAAAAATGAAAAATTGTAAAGCGGAGGACCTTGTTATCAAAATTAAGAGCTCATGTTTGGTGAGAATTCCCTAGAGGTGTCTAGTAACCGATTTTTCAGAGTACAAAGTAAAAAAAAATAGTCCCACCCTATAATGAAAAAAACTGCAATCTGTATTATGTTAATGACCAAACTACTGCACCTGACTGTACTGCCGTTGTATCGGAAACTGATTAGTCAACTTGTGATCATCATTCCTCCAGGAGCCTTGCTTCCAAGTTTTATCCAGACCCCCGTGCAACCCGTGTATGAAAATAACGTCGGCCTCGATGTTGCCGTCTCTCGGTTCCCTTAAAACCTCGCATTCGACGCATTTCTCCGGTTCGGCGAACACGCCGTGCGCATCCATCTCCGACGCGGATATTTCCTCGTTTCTCAACGCGCGCAGCGTCAGCGGTATGCTGATCCTTTGCACCGACGCCAAAGATCTGGAGACGCTGTTAGCGAGGAACGCGACCACTGCAGGAAGGAGCTGCCTGCGAAATCCATCGACCACGGTTTGCTGGTTACGCACGTAGACATAGTAGGCGTTGATGAACGAAGGTATAATTGCTCTGCTTATCAGGTCCACGGCCACCCATAGTTTTCTGAAAAATAAGATTAATTTTTTTAGACAGTTTGTATGTTAAGAAAAAATGGAACCTACACCTCGCCAAAGTGTTTTGTTTTGAATGCGTTCCACCAACTTCAAATACCGACAGACAGCTGTTTCGACCTTTGTTGGGTCTCATCAGTGTCGGGCAACTTGGTGTAGTGGAACACAATCAAAACAAATTACTCACTGAGCTTATATGCTCGGTTGTTGAGTCAACAGAGGCGAGATGTAAGAACATCAGGTGATCCACACCGTCAAACGAAGTGGCCTTTGCACACAGCAATTAAGGCGTTTCTCGGAAAAACATCATTAGTCCAATATCGTCGAAATTTAGATATTAGCACCAACTGTTTCCTAACCTCCATATATACGTATACAAATAAGTGTTTCTCGTAAAAATGTCATAGGTTCCATAATAATTAAATATGAAATTTAGCTTGTTCTTCTAAAAACATCACAAGTCCACTCCGTTTCGTCTAAGATAGTCACATGTGCATAACATGTGACGTTTTTGGACACTCTAGAAAAGCTTCTACCTCTTTTACATGACCACAGCAATAGAAAATTTTATGATAACTTGATAAAAGACCAGAAGACCATAGCACCTTATAACACGGTCGACAACGATGATAACAGCAGTGGATGCGAAGACTGAGTGTGGCAGTAATACAGTTTTTAGTTTTTTCATTTATTTTGTTACTCAGAGTTAATATTTAGTTTGTAGTGTTTGTAGTAAGGAGAATTGTTCGTTTTTTTCTTCTAAAAACCTCACATGTTCATGTAATTTTTGTTTTTTTTCATATTCGTTTGAAAAAAAAATCATGAGGAATTCTGGACAAAGTATCTTACATTTTTTTACATGTAGTAAATAGGTCAATAAAGTACTTTGGTCAAAAATGGGAATGTCGGAGAGTTTTTTTCATTTTCCCAAATATGTTAATTTTGGACTAATGATGTTTTTCCGAGAAACGCGTCAATTGTATCACAGATACTAATAGGGCCTAAAGGAATCTAGAATTAACCCAACCGGGCTAAACATTAAGGTAAACATTCAATTTTCTTAGTGTCTTTAAGAAACTTTCTTGACCCATCACTGGTAATATTCATAAGAAAAAATGGAACCTACACCTCGCCAAAGTTTTTTGTTTTGAATGCGTTCCACCAACTTCAAATACCGACAGACAGCTGTTTCGACCTTTATTGGGTCTCATCAGTGTCGGGCAACTTGGTGTAGTGGAACAGCTGTCTGTCTGTATTTGAAGTTGGTGGAACGCATTCAAAACAAAAAACTTTGGCGAGGTGTAGGTTCAATTTTTTCTTATGAATATTACCAGTGATGGGTCAAGAAAGTTTCTTAAAGAAACTAAGAAAATTGAAAGTTTGTATGTTATTGAAGTGAAACTTCTTTGGTGGCGTTCTAATATTTGACGAAAAAGGAGAGTAAATTGGAAAAATGTAACGTTCCGAGATTTCGTTACACGAGAGAGAAATAAGATATAACGTAGAGAGAAGAAGAAAGAGGGCTACGAGATGTGTTCAGAAAATAACAGGAATTGTTAAATTTCGCGGGTTCGGAGGGTCCGGTTGTCATAAAATTTTCTTTATTATGTTGGTATACATGCCCCCGAAGTATGCTAAAAACTTGTTTACTTTGTCTGTGGCAGCCGCTAAGGTTAGACGTGTTTTATGAGCTCGGCGATTTTTCGTTCGTTAAAAGAAATGGATCAGAGAATTTGTATCCAATTTTGCTTAAAAAATTAAATAAATTCTGTGAAATGTTAACAAAGGCCTATAGTTAGTCTGCTATAAGTAAAACAAGAGTTTACAAGTGGTATAAGAGTTTTCAAGATGGCCATGAAGACATTGAAGATGACGAACGCCCCGAACGCACAAGCACATTAACAACCGATAAAAACATGGAAAAAGTGGAAGAAATGGTTATAAACCATCAGAGAAGTCGCTGATGATGTTGGTATAACGATTAGCTCATCCCATGAAATTTTTTCGAATGTTTTGGGTATGAAACGCGTGGCAGCAAAATTTGTTCTAAAATTGTTAAATTTTTAACAAAATTTTTGGCCAAAAACAATACTGTAATGATGCCCCAGCCTCCATGTTCGCCAGACATGCCTCTGACTGACTTTTTCCTATTCCCAAAAATAAAGAGAACCTTAAAGGGCCGTCTTTTTGCAAGCATAGATGACATTAAAAGCGCATCGCTGAAAGAACTAAAGGCTATGCCAAAGATCGAGTTTTAGAAGTGTTTCGAGTATTGGAAGAAGAGCTGGCACATGTGCATAATATCCAATGGGGACTATTTTTAAGGCGACAACATTAATGTAGACGAATAAATAAATATTTGTTTCAAAAAACGAAAATTCCCGATATTTTCTGAACACACCTCGTATACCAGTGTACCCGAGTGAATCCGATCGCCTCTTCACAGATGCACTGTAAGCAGATTGCCTGCGTAGGCGAGGATTCAGTTTTGTTTTGCATTTGCTAGTGTGCATTTCGAGCGTTTTAACATAAATGTACATATTTAAAATTATAATGTCCTACACATTGCAAGAGAAAATTAACATGATAAGCTCTTTAGTGGGCAATTCTTTACGTCAAACAAGATACCTATTCTCAGTTAAATATCCCAGTGGCGGCTGGTGGATTTTGGATATGCCAATATTTCAGTTATTAGACATGGGACCCACACCAAATTTATATGAGTTTATAATGACATTAAATAGACAAGTTTGGCGCAAACAGAATTTAAATTGAAATTTGCAAAAAAAGTTTGTTTTTCCTGTCGCCTCACCCCCCTCCAGGCCCCCCTATTTGAGATAATTTAAATTAAAGTGGTGCAATTTATTATCTACTATAATTTATTGACAAATTTAAAATTTTATTTAAAAAATCCAAATATTACAGGTTTTATACCATTTTAAATATTTTTTATTTTACTTTTTTTCGCAAACTTCAATTTAAATTCTGTTTGCGCCTAACTTGTTTATTTAATGTCATTATTAGGGATGGGATATTTAGGTACTAAAAACTGAAAAATAGGTAACTAAAAAGGTACTAAAAAAAAGCATTTTAGGTTACAAAAACAGCATTTTAGGTAAAAAAAATCATTAAAAGTTTCGTTTATAATTTTGTTTAGCCGCATACCCAAACACAGAACATACCCACAATAAACTATTTCTATGCAATAAACTGTGTTTTACTGAGTGACACTCACTACACAGAAGTTCTATGACAGAACATAAGCTCACTAGTACTGAGTAACTACAAAGAAGGTACTGTAAAGAAAGTTACTGTTACAGTCTGTAACCATAAGAAAAAATTCTATACCGTTGAGTTGCACGCCCTGGATAAAATATTGGCGCAAATTTTAAAAAGAACAAAAAAAATAAAATAAGTAAAAATAGGTAACAAATATGTGAAAATAAACTGACAAATTAAAAAACATAAGTATAAAAAGGTACTTTAAAGCAAAAACCTCCAAAAAAGGTAAAAAAGGTGAACAAAAGTTTAAAAAATAGGTAACAAAAGTATAAAAAGGTAGTTAAAAGCAAAAACCTCCAAAAAAAGTAAAAAAGGTGAAAACAAGTTAGGTTCATATAAAAGAAAATATTTTAAAACACATTTTGGCATTATTGGTTTTCAAATAGTTACATCGGTTAAAAAAAGGTAAAATAACTAAAATCCCATCCCTAGTCATTATAAACTATTATAAATTTGGTGTGGGTCCCATGTCTAATAACTGAGATATTGGTATACATAAAATCCACCAGCCGCCACTGAAATATCCGGATAGTTCTATTCCGTCAATTAGAACAATAATAAACGTTATCCAAAGGTTTAAAACAATTGTTCCCATTTCAAAGCGGAAAACGTAATTTTAGCGACACAAAGTATATAACTTAAAAAAATTGTTTCTTGATGCCAAATAATTTGGTGAAAACGGCGCGAGTCTTTTTTTTTTTTTCGTTTTGGAGTTATGATTTTTTGAAAATAAATAACCGTACTTCGAGGATCACATTGCCCTGCTGCAATAAAAGTGTGTAAAATAAGAGTAATAAAAAGATCATTTTAATTGTTAAAAACAATAAACATTCATTATATACTAACCTGACAAATATTATAGTTAAGATTTATTAAGTATATAAAAATCTTACATGTTTCTTGAGTTTTAAGAATGTATGTATACACATTTAAAAAAAGCTTATAAGCTTGCTGGATAAACGAAATATGCTGGATTTTAGGTTAAACTGTTTACATTTCGAAGAGCGGTAAAATCAATAAACACTGGGTGAATCTGTACGAGACACATCTTTATAGAAATTTAAATTTTAGGCTTGTTTTGTTATAATTAATAGATAAAAATTGTAATGAGCATGCTTTTAAACGATACAGTATTAAATAGGTTAAAATTTATAATATTCACAAAAATTGTTAAATTGGTAAATTTATAAAAGTTAGAGTTAGAGTTAAAACACGTCAAATGAACCAATAAGTTTTTGGAAAGTAACGATAATAATTATAACAATTGTTGTAAAAAGTGTATACACTTTAGACAATAGCTGGCCATACACAGACGTTATTGCGCGCGGTTTATCGTGTTATCTGCAAAAACATATGGAAAATCATGTACGTGAGTGAGTATCGCCGCGCGCAATGATAGAACGGGAAGGGATTTCAGACGTGCATTTCAGTGTCCACACGCCACATTCCGCGTCACGGTTTACCTTTGCTTGGCAAAATTTCACGTTGAAAATTTGTACATGATCACATGCAGTTTGAAACGACTCGATAAATGACACTTTTTGCCCACTCACATACGATTTTTCCTTTGAAACTGATATACCACGGGCAATCACTTGCTAAATCATTTGAATACTTTATCAAGTGTATGGAACATGACGCTTTTTTTGCCACGCCGTTCTTTCGTGCATGCAAACCGCTACATCCCAACAGGCCACGATAAACCGCGCG